ATAATAATAATAATAATAATAATAATAATAATAATAATAATAATAATTTATTCTTGCTCCCAGTGTAAACTGCAGCTCCTGACCTTGAGCTCCTCCAGGTCAGGCCTCTCCATGCTGACCACAGCTGCCAGCAGCTGCTCCTCCAGCCCGTCCCTGGTGACAGTGAAGTTGATGAGGGTGCACTGGGCCTGCAGCTCCGGTGGGAAGTGGGGGTTTGCCAGCTTCGTGTGCAGGATGAGGCGGAAAGCAGGGCTGAACTCACACTCTTTGTCTCCAATTTTGATGTACCTGCAATTAGAAGATGAGCCAGGAGGTGGTTCACCCCAGGGTGGTTCACCCCAGGACAAATGGAGGTCTCAGTCAGTGGCACCTACCAGGACTTGGCACTCGACACACAAATCACTATTAGAGCAAAAGTATTAAAAGTTGGCAGTGACATCTGAGTCACTTCTAATCTAGGAGAAAAGTCCCAGAAAGCTGCCCCTGCATCTTGGATTCTGTTTGAGAAGGCTCACATTTTCCAGCAGCAGCATGGCCACTCCAGCCATGAACCCTCCTGGCTATTGAGAGAGGTTGAATTCTACCTTAAAGTTGGAGTTACAGGGAGGAAAAGCCTCTCAGCAATGAGGTCACAGGTTTGATACTCATATGGGCCATTCACTTAAGAGCTGGACTCGATGATCCTTGTGGGTCCCTTCCAATGCAGAATACTCTGTGATAAATCTGTGGCAACTTTTCATTGGTCACATCTAGAATTGCCCAGTCTGTTGGCTCTGATCAGGCCAACTCTGCAGTTGCACTGAGCTTGAGCAGTGAAGCCACATTTGGAGAGCAACTGGTGGCCATTCAAAGGAGGTAACATCTCCCAGGAAAACCCAATCTCCTCCTGTTTTGCACTTCTGACATGAAGACTAAAGCTCACAGCAACATGATCTGAACCCAAGTTTAACCCAGCCCAGAAAGCCAAACAAATCCTGGGCTGCACCAAAAGCAGTGTGGGCAGCAGGTCAAGGGAGGGAATTCTCCCCCTCTACTGCCCTGGTGAGACCCCACCTGAAGCACTGAGTACAGTGTTCCCCAGTATGAAAACGACACGAAACTGTTGGAGTCCAGGGGAAACCATGAAGTTGATAAGAGGACTGGACACCTCCCCTACAGAGACAGGCTGAGAGAGCTGGGGCTGTTCAGCCTGGAAGAGAGAAGGTTTTGTGAAGACCTAATTGTGTCCTTCCAGCATCTTAAAGGGCTACAGGGAAGGTGGAGAGGGACTGTTCATCAGGAACTGGAGTGACAGGATAAGGGAGAATGGCTTCAAACTAAAAGAGAGCGAGGTTAGATGGATGATAGGAGGAAATTCTTCCCTGTGAGGGTGGTGAGGCCCTGGCACAGGTTGCCCAGAGAAGCTGTGGCTGCCCCATCCCTGGAAATGCCCAAGGCCAGGTTGGACAGGGCTTGGAGCAACCTGGGCTGGTGGGAGATGTCCCTGCCCATGGCAGGGGGTGGGACTGGATCGTCTTTAAGGTCCCTTCCAACTCAAACCATTCTGTGATTCTATATTAACAAAGCCCATGGGAACCAGAGACCAAGAGAAACTAGAAATGCTTTCAGGGCTGCACTGGGACTGCTGCAGGAATGGTGACGTTGTCAGGGGAGTCTGAACACTCTTCCCAGCCAAACATCACTCACTCAGTGTCCTCTTGGCCCCTCAGTTACTTTTACAGCTGTGAAACAGAAGCAGAGAGAAACCACCCAGTACAGGAACCACAGGGACGCTGGGCCTGACAGCATCTGTCCATGGGGTCTGGGCTCATGGCCTGGAAACACGAATCCCATGGACTTCCTATGTGATTTATAATTCATTTCCCCTTTCTTAGGAAGTACATGATTCCACAGGGAGTTCTGAGAGCAGACACATACAGCCCCAAAAGGTGCTTCACTGGAGGGGGGATGAGGATTGGCACCCTCACTGCTGTACCCCCAACTCAACATTCTTCAGCATTTCAATCCCTTCCCTGGGACTGATTTTCCTCCTCCATCCTGCAGCCAAACCCACACTCAGCCACCCTTCTCATGGTGTTTTCCCCTGCACACTTTGCAGACAGTTTGCCTTGCCCAGCAGTTTACAACACCCTGGGGTATTTTGGCAAGTAAGGAAATAATCCTTAAGAACGTAAGGACAAAGGCCTGCCCCTGTCTCTGACCTCCTCTGGGCTGGAGGGGCCCAGAGCTGCCATGGAGAACCTGACCTCATTAAGAAACACTTTATATCCTTAATGCTCAAACCTGGAGCTGTACTCCTGAACTCTGTGCAGTGTTTGCTAAAATTCAAGGCTACTTTTACTCCACAACAGCAAGAGCTATTTTGGTAATAATTTAGTGTCAGGACAGTGGTCACTACACAGGGAGACAATTACAGGTCTCTCTTTTCACGTGAGGTTTGAATGACACCGTGCAATGAAATGAGAAATCCAGGTTGATTTTCAAGCCATCCTGTGTCTGAATTACCTGTGATTGCCTGATTTAAAAAGCCTTCACCCCTGAAGGCAGGATGTCACTGCTGCTGGATCTGAATAGCCACGATCTGAGGTGAGGAACAGAGAGCACAACACCCCCAGCCCCCACCCACATGTGCCACCAACCCCTCTTCCCCAGCTCACCAGCCTTTCTTGATTGTTTCTCGCCCCAGTAATGGTCCCAACACTGGATCCACAGATTCCTCCAGGTTTTCAATCAAAACCAGTTCTCCTGCAGCCAGAGCTCGTTCCAGCGTGTCCAGGTACCTGTGGGGAGCAGCACTGGTAGGTACCTCCTGCAGCAGAGCAGGGTATGACACTGTTATTGAGGAGGATGTGGGGACAGAGAGGGGTCCACACAGCTATAGGCATGTGGCAACATTTGGGGAGAGGAAGAGGGGTAAGAAGGGTCAAGGCCTGATGCAGAAAGTGGCATTTACAGAGTCTGGGCTGTCCAAAAAAGAGAATGAGGTCTCAGAGCTCCAAGAGCAAGCAGTGATCACTATGACTTTCCCAAGAAGAGTCTGGGCATCAGTGAGCAAAGCTGGAGTTGTTTTTAGCAAATACCTTGTTTCCCCCAGAACCCATTGGTGCAGTTCACCTTATTTTGATTCCAGATCAGATCCAGTAACTCATTATTTTCTAGGAGGAAAACTGAGGAGGCACCAGCAAAACAACCTGGGCAACCACAGAGGAGGCACCAGTGAAACATGGGCAACCCCAAGGCATCTCCAAATCTACATGAATTTTCAAGCACCAGGCTTGGGCCACTCTTGGCTGTTGCCAGAGCTTTCCTCTGTATTCAAAACCAACCTCAGTGCTCAGACATCTCAGCAGGGTTTTGACTCTGGGGCTCCTCACTACTGGGCAGAGATGGGTGCAAGCTGATACAGCAAGAGAGCAGTCTGAGGGCTGACTGGAGATAAGAGCCAGGAGTGGAAAAGCCTTCCCATGAAAGATTTATCTGGATCAATGCAGGGGTGCTGCAATGAGAAAGTCCAGCTGGTGCCAAGTGGGAGCAGCATCAGCCCAACTGGTCTGCAGGGCATGGTGACCCTCCTGGCAGCTTGGTTGTCCATGCCAAGCCCTCTCTCTCTTTCCAAGAGGTAGGAAGCCCTGCTCACCCTCCTGGATGAGACTAAACCAGGACATGACATCTACAATAAACCCGATGGAGGACACTACAGGCCTGTTGCCAAGAGGAGCTGTGGCTGCCCCACCCCTGGAAGTATTCAAGGTCAGGTTGGATGGGGCTTGGAGCAACCTGGTCTAGTGGAAGATGACCCTGACCATGGCAGGGGGTTGGAATGAGTTGAGTTTTAAGGTCCCTTCCAACCCAATCTATCCTGGGATTCTGTGCCACACAGAGCTCTCCTCAGCACACAGCTCACTCCATCCTCACTTTCAGAGGAGTTTCTATGGTAACTGAGCCAGGCTCTAAACAGACCCCTTGTTTAATGAGAAACCTCCATCATTTTGGTAATGAATAGCAGATAGTTTTCTAGTGCTGTGTCCAGCTCTGGGCCCTCAGTTCAGGAAGGACATGGAGGGGCTGGAGCAGGTCCAGAGAAGGGCAACGAGGCTGGGGAAGGGTCTGGAGCACAAGTGCTGTGAGGAGCAGCTGAGGGAGCTGGGGGGGCTCAGCCTGGAGAGGAGGAAGCTCAGGGGAGACCTTCTCACTCTCTGCAACTCCCTGACAGGAGGGGGGAGCCGGGGGGGGTCGGGCTCTGCTGCCAGGAACCAGCAGTAGGACAAGAGGGCACAGCCTTGAGCTGCACCAGGGCAGGTTTAGGTTGGACATTGGGAAGAAGTTCTTCCCAGAGAGAGGGATCAGCCCTTGGAATGGGCTGCCCAGGGAGGGGGTGCAGTCCCCGTCCCTGAAGGTGTTTGAGCAGAGCCTGGATGTGGCATCAGTGCCATGGTCTGGGTGACAAGGTGGGGTTGGGTCATGGGTTGGACTGGATGATCTCAGAGGTCTTTTCCAACCTCCTTGATTCTGTGATTCTGTGATAATATGAGCAAATCCAGAGCTGGATTTGCCTCAGTGTCACTGGCTCTGACAGCACAGTCAAACAGTCAAACAAACACCCCAGGCGGCCCATCCCCAGTGTCACTGTGTGAGGAGGCTGCTTTACCCCTTGTTCCCAACCCGGAGCACACGGAGCCCTGGGCCATATCTTGCTTTGATCCATTGGATGCCCTGGAGCTGGGGGTCCACCAGGAGGGGCCAGCGCTCGCAGGTGCTCAGGATGGTGGCGTTCTCGGCGGAGGTGCGGTCGGCCGGGAGCCCCTCGTTGTGCCAGCCCGCCACGGCCGCCTCGTCCACCAGCACGGCCAGGGGGTCCAGGCACGGGCTTACAGGGATGGGCACCTGGGGGGAGAGGACAGAGGCTTCTAGTGGGTTATTTCACAGAAAGTTAGCTTAATTAAAGACTGATAAAGCAGATTTATCTGCATCACCAGCAGTGTGAGCAGGAGGAGGGAGGGCATTTTCCCCACCTACTCCGCTTTGATGAGACCCCACGTGCAGAGCTGCCTTCAACTCTGAAGGAACCAACATCAGAAGGATGTGGAGCAGCTGGAGACAGCCCAAAGGAGGCCATGAAGACCCTCCGAGGGCTGGAGCCCCTCTGCCTTAGAGACAGGTTGGAACAGCTGGGGAAGAGAAGGCTCCAGGGAGACCTGAGAGCCCCTTCAAGGGCCTAAAGGGGCTCCGAGAGAGCTGGAAAGAGACTTTGGTCAAGGGCCTGGAGGGACAGAACAAGGAGGAATGGCTTCAAGACAGAGGGCAGGGTTAGATGGGTTACTGGGAAGAAATTCTTCCCTGTGAGGATGGTGAGGCCCTGGCACAGGTTGCCCAGAGAAGCTGTGGCTGCCTCATTCCGGGAAGTGTCCAAGGCCAGGTTGGATGGGACTTGGAGCAACCTGGGCTGGTGGAAGGTGTTGCTGCCCATGGCAGGGGTTTGGAATGAGATGTCTTTAGAGTCCCTTCCAACACAAACCATTCTATGATTCCATGATTTATCACTGGTTTTCCATTCTACAGGGTCCTTTTGATCTAGTTTTCTTTCCCCAATCCTGTTTTAAACAAACACAAACTGTACAAGCAATCCAAGGTTTTTGCCTGCCCTAAACCAGCCCAAGCTCCACTGGCTCAGATCACACTCCTCCCTGTCACTCTCTCTGAGACAGCCTGGAAGGACATCACTAACCCCCTCATAAGGCAGCTGTTCTGCTGCAAAACAGCATTAGGAGGCCCAGAAATGCTTCTCTGACAGGGGAGGCCATTGCTGGGTGTGACAGCCAGAGTTACCTGTGCCAGATGTCTGAGCAGAGTGGGCCTTTCACTTCCTATTAGAATTTGAGGCATATCCTTGAAATTTCTAAGCACAGAGACGGGTCATTTTTGGAACAATACTGCATTTCTTAACTAAGTTTCTGGTTTAGTATTAAAAAATGCAGAATGAACTTTTTCCTCTCTCAGGCTAAGGAACTGGCTGATTTTCTCAGCCCTTTGATTTGGCCATCACTGCCCCACTGTGATCTAACTTAAAAGATTCTTGGCATTATTTCCTGATGTATGAGAAGAACCTGCTAAAAATTAGCAAAATATTAAATGAGTTTGCAGCATGATGATCTCCATCTGGTCCTAACAGCAAGACATGGATACAACCAGCTGAGAGGCATGGCCAGCACGAACAGAGCTTGTGTCCAGCATTAAAAAAACACCTGGAGCTTTTCCAAGCCTACCAGAGAGCTGGCAGTGAGCTCTGCCTGCTCCAAGCAATTTCTTCTCCATGCAAGTCCCTCCTTCCAGGCCATCCCTGATGGCTGGTCAGAACTGCAGAGTATCGTCCTGGGCTCCAGGCTTGGGATTTTTCTCTGCACGTGGAGGAATCAAGACAATTTCATGGAGGAAGGACACCACAACTGCCCCACAGAGGCATAAATCACACGTGGTTACATCCTGCTCCCTAACCCAACTCAGCAGGGACACAGGGTTGCCCCTCATTTGAGAGATCCTCTCCCTTGGGGATCCTTGTGGACATCAGAATTCATGGCCATGTTAATCCCAGGAACAGCAGCTTTTCAGAGGAATCAGGACTTACTTTGAGCTGGTGCAGATATGGTTTCCAGACACCCTCCAGGAGGTCCTGGCGGTATTTCCTGGTGAAGTAGCCCAGGTAGGACACGAAGGCCGTGATCAGCAAGACATCCCCACACAAGGTGCTCTGCTGCTCTTTGAAGGCCTTCACAGCCTCAGCCCATCTCACGTTCTCAGAGGCCAGGCCCCCAACCTGCAAATGCCCAAATCAAATTAAACATTCATAGGCCCATGGAATGGGTTGGAAGGGTGAAGGTTCATCTCATTCCACCCAATTCCACTGGCAGGGACACCTTCCACCATCCCAGGTTGCTCCAAGCCCCCTCCAACCTTGAATCCAGGGATGAGGCAGCCACAGCTTCTCTGGGCAGCCTGTGCCAGGGCCTCCCCACCCTCACAGGGAACAATTCCTTCCTAATATTTAACCTAATCCTGCCTTGTCAGTTAAAAGCCATTTCTGCAAACCTATTTTAATGGAAAAAAAATGACACTATTTAGGCAAGATACTCTGGGAGATTAGGGCAGGAGGGAGGGAAGTGTTAAGAGGGATGATGGCACATGGTGTGGCTCTTGGGGATGATCCTGTGCAGGGCTGAGGGTTGGATTCAGTGATCCTTGTGGGTCCCTTCCAACTCAGCACATTCTGTGACTGATCTTTGTGCTCAACAGCCACTGATGATTTTTCCCTTCATGACTGAGCCAAAGCTGCCATGGATACCAACCAAACTTTTGGCATCTACAGCACCCTGTGGGCAGCAGATACACAGTTCAGCTGTGCTTCCTGTAAAAAAGTACATCTCTGACGTGCTGCCTGAACTTTTCAACTGATAAAACCTGTTGGTCCAGTGGAAAACCAGTGGAATGATCCTGCTGGCACCAGCTTCTCCGCACCACTCACTATTCCAAGCCCTCAGTACCCCTCTGCTGCCTCCTTTGGAGTTGAAGAGCTTTAGCCTCTTCAGTAATTCCTCACTCAGAAGCAGCCTTTTCATTTTCCTTGCAATCTTTATCCGTACAGAATGATGCAATCTTTATTATCCAGTTTCTTTTATTGTTCCTGTCTCTGCACCATTTCCATTCTCCTCTGGCCTTTGAGGCGCAGCAGAGGGGGCGGTAGGAATGCTGCACATTCAAGATTTATTTAGAATGCATTCATACAGAGATGGGGATTTTTCTCTGTTTTGTTCTCTCTTCTTTTCCTAATAAACCCTAACATCCAGTTTCAGATTGGTTTGGGGTTTGGTGAGGGTTTTTTGCCTCTGGGAGCACAGAGCTCACAGACTCACAGAACTCTTAGCTCCAGCCTTTCATTCCAGACTGATAATAACCTGCTCAGCACCACTTACAGGGCATGCAAAGTAAAACTTGATTTTTCCAATATACACTACATTACATTTACCTACCTGGTGTTTCATATCTGCATCACTTGGGATCATTTTCACAATTCTTTATAGACTGTCTACATCATCACTGTGAAACTGTGCACCCATGCACCAGCTCATCCCGCTTGACTGTGATTCAGAGAATCATGGAATCTCAGAATAGTTTGGGTTGGAAGGGACCTTAAACCTTCTCATCCCACCCCCAGCCATGGGCAGGGACACCTTCCACTAGACCAGGTTGCTCCAAGCCCCATCCAACCTGGCCTTGGACACTTCCAGAGAAGTGCCACAGCTTCTCTGGGCAACCAGAATGGTGAACTCAAGAATGAACACCTCTGATGTTCCTTCTGCCTTGCCAAAGCTGCCTCTTTGAGTCAGGGACTGTCCCCTGGGCAGTCTGGCTCCTCCCAGGAACAGAAAGAGCAGCCTCAGGTTTTCAGTGCCCCATCTGACCTCAGAGCTGCTCCTAAACCTGCCCCAGCTGAGCTGCTCTGTCACGAACATGAACCACCACCCTCCTCACAGAGCTGCAGAGGTTCCCCAGTGCCTTTTGCTGATCTCAGACTGTGTCATTGTCCCCTTACCCTTGCTAGAAAGCTACTTGTGATAGGATTAGAAGCACATCTGCCTTTCTTAGGGCTACATGACAGGTAGGGCAAAGCCTGATCAAACACAATGGTCCTCACTGGTTTCTGCAATGGGCTCCTGGCTCAGAAATGAACAATCTGCTATAAATCCATAGTTATGTCTGCAACTTGTATCACTGAATTTCAGCCCATTCTTGTGGTTCCATATTGAGACCATCCAGTTATTTTACCTTCAGCAGTGCTTTCTCTTCATCTGGGGGAATTCCCATTTTTATGTTCTCAGTCTTATAAGGTTGTCTTACCTTGTAAATCCACATTCCTTATAGTGGAGCATATGAAGGCTGGAAAATAGCAGGGATCAGGCAGCACAGCCTATAGCTGCCCTGATCCTGCTCTGTTCTGGGCATTTTCTGGAGTCCACCTGAAGCTGGACAGACCCTAGTCTCAGCCCACATATCAGTCCTTACCTTATCCTACTTGTTGAAAAAGAAGCAAAACACTCTTTTTAGGCTATTGGTTAATTTTAAGGATCATACCTAAATTATCCTTAATCTCAACTACAGTTACAGTGCAGAGTCCAGTTCTTCCATTTTTCCTTTGTAGTTTTTACAGATGAAGCATCTCAAGTTCTTCCCTCCAGCCTCCTTGAGGTCAAATCCCATACTACTCCCAGAGCATCTCTAAGACCAAGAAGTCTTTATTCATCTGAGTTTCCTAATTCTTGTAGAGTGGCTACGTACTCCTAATTAATTTCTTCAGGTTACTTTTTATCCACTTTGGTCCTACAGGTCTTTTCTTGTCCTTTGCTTGAATCACACACTACTGCCAGTTTTAATATGTTCGAGACATCCCAGATGTCTTCCACCTCAGATCCTAGAAGTCATTGGAGTTCTTTTTATTTAGCAAGCAGCAAATTAAAAGCTACTCATGGGATTCCCTTTAGCCTTTGATAATGAGGGATAGTGAACACCCACTCCCCATTCACCTTCTGCACACCAGTCATGATTTTAGAGGAATCTCTCACATCCATCCCCTCTACACCTTTTCCAGAACGAAGAGTCCCGAACTGTTTCCTCTCTTCTCACACAGAAGTGGTTCTATATTTGGCTGTAGCTTTTCTAAGTTGTCCCCAGCCTCCTGAGCTGGGTTAACCCCCTGCTCAGGCACGTGGGATGGAGGCACTGACAACCTGATACAATGATGTTTAAGTTCTGTTTCCTGAGGTTTTTTCTACTAATTACTAATATTAAGTTTGTCTTTCTTCCTCCAGTCAAGTGCCATGTTGCTGTTCCTGAGAACTCATTTCAACCACTCCAAGAGCTCTTCAGTGAGTGATAATAGTGCAATTAGGCCCCATCCATGTAACTGCATGATTACAGTTTGTTTTCCCTGCACACATTATTTTGCATTTGTCATCACTAAATGTCATATGCTGCATTAGCAACACCCACTCACAAACTCCAACACCAGCCAGCCTCCCTCTCTGGCGCACAGATCACTCCTCCCTGTCCCTTGGATCCTGGAGCATCTTCCTTAGGTCACGTGAAGTTCAGGAGATGCCAATCTGGCACTGTCAGGGCTGGGATTGCCTTCAGCCCCCAGGTTCATTTGTTATTCCAAAGCATCATTCTCTGTTCAGTTCTATTCTTCAGACAACCTCAAATGTGTTTATTTCAAAGTCTGGGAACTTATTTCTGCCCACAACCACACAGGTGACACATCCTGAATGTCAAATGAACTGCACACCAGTGAGGGCTGTCAGGAGCTATTCCTAGATCAAAGCCAGGACGCCACAAGAGATGGTGTGCAGTGCACAGCAGGAGGTTGGGATGAAGGTAGTTCCCTACCTACTCTGCAAAATGATGAATTTCATCAATTCAGTATAGAATCATGGAATCGTTAAGGTTGGAAGCTGTTCCCAGGTCATGGGGTGAGGAAGAAATGGAACCAGCATGGTCTAGGATGTGGTGTCATAGAATCATAGAAAGGTTTGGGTGGGAAGAGACCTTAAAGACCACCTAATTCCACCTCCTGCTGTGAGCAGCAACACCTTCCACTATCCCAGGTTGCTCCAAGCCCCATCCAGCCTGGCCTTGGACACTTCCAGGGATGGGGCAGCCACAGCTTCTCTGGGCAACCTGTGCCAGGGTCTCACAGGGAAAAATTCCTTCCATATATTGAACCTAAATTTGCACTCTTTCAGTTTGTACCCACTCCCCCTTGTCCTGTCACTCCAGTTCCTGATGAACAGCCCCCCCTCCAGCTTCTATGTAGCCCCTTCAGATCCTGGAAGGTGCTCTGAGGTCTCCACACAACCTTCTCTTCTCCAGGCTGAACACCTCCAGCTCTTCCAGCCTGTCACATTTGGAAAGCTTCATGAATTTGTGTGTCTGGTATAGTGGAAGGTGTCCTTGCCCATGGGAGGGGATTGGAAGGAGATGGTGCTTAAAGTCCCTTCCAGCCCAACCCATTCTATGGTTCTGTGAGTCTATCAAGGTTTCCAGGTGTTCTGCACCCCTCGGGTGTCTCCAGCCTCAGCTGCACCCTCTAACCCCATGAGCTGTATAGCTCCAAGAGCTGCATCACTGGCCAATAACCTGCACTTCCCATCCCAGAGCTGCAGCAGGAGCTGTGCGGGAGTGTAGAGCCCTCAGAGAGGTCTGAACCACCACCTGCATCCTCCCTGCAGGCACAGGGGGTCAGGGAGGTCAAACCACAGACTGGCTGGGCTCTGGTGTGCTGGGGATGAGCCTGAGCCAGCAGAGCCAGATGCTGGAACCAGTTCCTTCCCCTCACCCCCAGGGCAGAGCTCAGCACAGACCAGGCTCCTGCAGCCCCATCCCCCTGCTTGAAGAAGAAACTGGCTCCAGGTTAACAGCCAGTGCAGAGGCCAAAATATGAAGCACTGGGTGCATTTGCAGCACTGGGAGTGAGCTGGGGCTCCAGCTGATGGGGCAGTGAGGGCAGCAGACATTGCCTCCCAGCCTCTGACATCTCTTCAGTCTTGCTCTGCAGAGGATGGGGGGCTGCAGACACCACAGACTGGGTGTCTGGGTAACAGGGACAGGTGCTGCTTTTAGAGAGCTTTTCACTCTAATTTTTCTCATTTCAAAACCTGCAAAGCTGCAAGTTCCTACCTTTGTTTTTTGAGCCATATAGTTTTGGCCCCTCTGTACTTGATGACACATTTAAAGCACAAAACAGGAGGCGAGAGCTGTGAAGAGAGCAGAGCCAGTCCCTTTAACGAGCTCAGCTGTCCTGATGGATGAAAACGGCCAGTGCAAAAGCATTTTCATTACTGAAACTTGCTGCAGTGCAGTAAATGTATTCCCAACAAAGGAGGGGATGGAACGTGCTGTGTGCACGTGGTTCATCTCAGCACCTGGTCCCTCCCTGTGGTGCCCCCCGAGCTGCAGTTGTGACACTCACCAGCCGGTTGGCCAGGGCGATGGTTCTCGCTGTCGCTGCAGCCTCTTGCTGACACTTGAGTTTGTCTGAAGTGGCCTCCTCGAACTGGGCTCTGAGCCTGCCCAGGTTCTGGTCAAGGCGCTGCATGGGAAACAGGAGAAAGCAACAGCACAGCTTGAACAACACAAGGAGGATTTGGAGCTGTTGGAGCGAGTCCAGAGGAGGCCACAAAAACACACTGAGGGCTGGAGCACCACTGCCATGAGGAAAGGCTCAGAGAGCTGGGGGTGTTCAGCCTGGGGAAGAGAAGGCTCTGGGGAGAACTTAGAGCCCCATACAGTGCCTAAAGGCACTCCAAGAGAGCTGGAGAGGAACCTGGGGCTAGGGCCTGGAGGGACAGAACAAGGAGCAGTGGCTTCAGATTGAAAGAGAACAGCTTTAGGTTGGATATTAGAAGGAAAGTCTTCCCTGTGAGGGTGGGGAGGCCCTGGCACAGGTTGCCCAGAGAAGCTGTGGCTGCCCCATCCCTGGAAGTGTCTGTCCAAGGCCAGGTTGGATGGGGCTTGGAGCAACCTGGTCTAGTGGAAGGTGTCCCTGCCCATGGCAGGGAGTGAAAGGAGATGAACTGTGAGGTCCCTTCAACCCAAACCATTCTGTGATCCTGTGATGCTCAGGCAAACAGAGTTGCCTGGCCCTGTGGCAGGACTGGCCAGGCCCAGCTCACCCATCCTGGCCAGCATCACAAGCCAGCACAGAGCAGGGCTGGGCTGTGCTCCTGCTGGAACTCACACCCTCAGCGCAAGGCAGAGGCAAAGGACACCCAAAACTAAGTTATTTGGGGCTTGGCCCTGGTGTGAATTTAAACTGGGTAAGGCCGGGGGTCCTTATGGCCAAGCCCCCAGGACAGTGCTGTAGCTAAGAAATGAGCAGGCAGCTGAGGAAATCAAATCTGATACATCCTGATGCTGCAGCCCCTTGATCTCAGAGCAGTCCTTGAGGCTCTGCTGCCTCCCCAGACTGTGTTTAAATCCCTAAAGGGGTTCCTGGAGCAGCTGGAGGCACAGCCGAACCACATCCAAGCCATACCCATCCCTGTTTCGAGAAGGGAATATCACAAGGAAGTCAGTAAAATTGTGCTGCTCTAAAAGTTGCCGAAAGCTGCACCAGGAGCCCACAGAGAGGTGGGACCACCTCCCATGGACATCAGTGCATGGAGCTTCAGGGCTAGGAAGCACCTGGAGAAAAAGCTGAAGAGCCCTTTGCTTGGACAGAGCTGTTCACACTCTGATCTAAAACAAATCAACAGCTCCCACAAGCACTTGGAGCATTTCAGTTCTGATAAGAGAAGTAATAATTGATTTTATCTGCACCCAGTGCAGACTGCTTAAGGCTAAACTGCTTGTAAATCACTTTAACACTGAGATACACACTAGAAACAAACCTGAAAATGAAAAAGGATTATATTAGGGATCTCTTCAGCCATCCTGGATACTGGCAAACACAAAGCAGTCTCTCCTTGACCTGCCTTGGAACTAATAACACAAAAAGTTTCTGTCCCTGTGTGCATATGGATGTATGTGCCTACAAAGCCTCATAGATCAAATCCCATTATTCAAGCACAATCTGATAATTGAGTATCTATAGAATATACACATATATCTGGTCTGAAGAACAGGCCATATCTGCAGGACCCCACCAGACACACTCCAGAGTAACACACAAATACAGCTGTGAACACACCTCTGGCTTCTACCTCCACCCTCCTCAGGGCCACAGCATCATATTTCCTAGGCAGGCAAAGGAGAGGGAAAGGTATTTAGTGTTTCAGACAATCAGAATAGTCTCATTTATTACTAAAAATGGGTATGTGACATCTTGGGGCCCAGCTGTGAGCAGGAATGAATCAGCCCCACAGCAGTGAAGCTGCCCAAGATATCCCAGCTCGACAAGCAAGGATGTACCTCCACATCCATCCCACGCTGAGCAGCAGCATTACCCATCTGCAGAGGGGAAAATGCACCTAAACCAGGCAGTTTTGTAAGTGCATGCCAGAGAGGTACCAGTAATCTCCCCAAAGATTGCAATTTGCTTTAACAAAATCCCACTCCTTTAAAAAAGAAGAAAAAAGAAAAAAGCAAAAAGAAAAGCCCAGGCATTAAAAGCTTTTGAAAAGAGAAGCATAAAGGGATGAAAAAAGTTCCCCAGCACTGTATTGCACATCTGAGGGGGGAGAATTAGACACTAATGCCCACTAAATCCATTCCTGCTCCTTTCATCTGCAGCAGGAAGGGGCGACCAGAGAGCTCAGCACTGGGTTTCTGTATTTCCAGGTAAAAAGTGTAGTAAGCATTTTAAGAATAATAAACCATCAGAAACATCAAAAGAGTGATGTGTTTTCTGAGAGGAAGATGTGCTGGTGGAAAACATGAGTGCAGGGACCTGCTGCCCCTGGCAGGGCCCCTCGGGCACTCCCTGGGACTCTTCCCCAGCTGCAGTTCCAGCCATGGAGGGGATCCCACTCCCAAAGTGGATCCCAGAGCCAAAGCAGCCTAAAACCAGGCAGGTTCTGGAGGAGCTTATTCCCACACTCTGTTCTTAGCAGGTATCAGCCTGGAGGGACCACAGAGAAAAGCAGCATAAAGCAGGATGTGTTTTTACATAGAGATGATTTTCTGAAGGAATGATTTTCTAAAGGCCTGAAGCCGCACCCTGTGGAAATGCACTTTTAATCATGCTGGAATTTCTTCTATTCAGATAATTTTTTTATTTATTTATTTATTAAGTAGGAAAAACCCAAATAAGGTACAAGATGTGCTGCCAGGGAGCTGTGCTGGGACCAACGAGGCTCCTACCAGAGTAGTTGTGATCCTGCAAATCCTGTCCATCCCCAGGGCCTGAGCACAGGGCCAGCCCAGCTCTGAATCAGCCTCCAGTGCCTCCCCTCTGCCCTGTGCACACACTGGGTACACATTTGTTTGAGATAAGGAGTTTCCTGAGGATCCATGAGAAGAAGTAAATTACATTACAAAAATTAGGTGGGAGTAGAAAGAATTCCTAATTAACCCTCCTCTTCAGGTTCAAGGTTGGAGAATAACCGATGGAATTTAGAAAGCATCCAGTCCTCCAGTTAGAGAATCCCAGAATGGTTTGGGTGGAAAGGGAACTTAAAGACCATCTCATTTCACCCCCTGCCATGGGCAGGGACACCTTCCACTAGACCAGGTTCCTCCAAGCCCTGTCCAACCTGGCCTTGGACACTTCCAGGGATGGGGCAGCCACAGCTTCTCTGGGCAACCTGTGCCAGGGCCTCCCCACCCTCACAGGGAAGACTTTCCTTCTAATATCCAATCTAACTCTACTCTTTATCAGTCTGAAGCCATTCCCCCTTGTTCTGTCCCTCCAGGCCCTTGTCCAAAGTCCCTCTCCAGCTCTCCTGGAGCCCCTTTAGGCACTGGAAGTGGCTCCAAGTGGCTCCCTGGAGCCTTCTCTTCCTCAGGCTGAACACCCCCAGCTCTCCCAGTCTGTCTCCAGAGCAGGGAGGCTCCAAACCTCAGAGAGCCTTTGTGACTTCCTGGATTGATTCCAGCAGCTTCACATCCTTCCTATGTTGACTGTCCCAGAGCTGGAGGCAACAGTGCAGCTGTGGTCTCACCAGAGTGGTGCAGAGGGGCAGAATTCCCCCCTCACCCTGCTGCCCACTCTTCCTGTGCTGCAGCCCAGAACACAGCTGCATTTCTGGGCTTCAGTGAAACACAAGGGATAGAAAACCCTACAATGGCCCAAACCTTTGGATCCCCAACCTGCCCTTAAAAAAACCCAAAAGTGCAGAGAAGCAGCTTTCTCCACAGCGGGGGATTTCTCCCCAGGCAGTGACGGGTCCCACCACAGGGCACTTACAGCAATTTTGGCCTTGATGGTGCCCAGCTTGTCCTGGGCTGCTGCCAGCTCGGCATTGGCCCTGCTCAGGGCCTGCCTCTTGGGCTGCACCTCACAGAACACGCCGTGGAAGCGCACGATGTTCACCACCCAGGAGCACAGCCCGGCCGCCGCCGCCGACTTGGTGGCCACGAACTCGGGGTTGAACTTGGGGTCTTGTAAATAAGGCTGGAGGGCTTTGAGGCAGTTCTCGTGGATGTTCTCCTTGTTGAACTTGATCAGGGAGTCCAGGAAGCCATCCACCCTGGCCATGGCCACTCTGGCTGCTTTCCAGCTCCTGTCCTTGGGGATCTTCCCTCCCGGGGCCGTCAGCACCATCACGGCCGCAGTGACGTTGCTGACGGCAGACGGGGGTGACCCAAAGGATCTCAGCTCTGTCAGGTTGGTCTGGAAAGGGGAAAACAAGGTTGTTAGAAAAAAATGAATGAGCTTGCTTTGCACTCTGCACTAGTGGAGTCAGGCTCCCAAGCCATCAGTCTGATAAACTGGGCTCCTCTCAGCCCCCACAACGCTGCCTTTAGAGCACCGCTCTGCATCTTCCCAGCACACCTGCTCCACTCCCTGCATCCAGCTCCTGACATCCCACCTGGCACCAGCTCAGCACACTGCTCCTCCCCACACTCCCACCCTTTCCCTGCTGCCTGGGGGAGCTGGATGTTTCCTGCTCTCTCAGATGACTGGGATAAGGAAGAAAGAAATGTTTCCAAATAATAACCTCTAGAAATATCCCTCAGCCCCTCTAGAACAGCCTTCAGAGCTTCTCTTCATGTTCCCCTTCATGCTCCCTCCTCCCCAAGCTGAGATGATGATGCCAAAACACCAGATCCACTGGGTCCCATGTCCTGCTATCCTCAGGGCCCAGGGAATGCAGCTACTGAGAAAGAGCCCAGGTACCCTCGCAGGGCAAGCAGCCAAACTGCACTGGAGGAGCTAAAAGGGCATTTTTGTCTCTAAACACTGATTTCTCACATTTTCAAATTCACTAACACATCTGGGTATGCATTTTTGTATTTTGCAGGTGCTCTGCACTGCATCTCTCACAACCCATCATGGTCCATAGAATAACTACCTTAATTATCTTACAGTATATACTTAAATGAAATAATTTTTATATATTATATATATATATATATAAAACTATCTCATTTATGTATATACGTATCTCTCCATAAGTATAGCCTCTCAATTTGCCTCAGTCACTCTCACTGCCACCAACCTCTGCAAAAGGCACTAACACTAAAGCAGGGGCAGAGGGGCTGCAGAAGGTCCCCCTGGCACAGTCAAAGCTGGGGTGACTCAGTCCAGGGTCACTCTTGGCTTACATGGAAAAAAAGGAAAAGGAAAGTTTAAACTGTAAGGAACAGAATGAGAGGCTAAACCCTGCCATAGGCTGAGCCTGACCAGCCCTTCTGAAAGCAGTGTGGGTACAGAGGATTCTGAGGGCACCAAAGGGAACTATTTAAAGCATCTGAAAGACAATCCTCCCACCACAAACAAAGGAGCAGAAATCAAGCACTGCCCAGGCTCCCCAGGGCAGTGGGCACAGCCCCAAGGCTGCCAGAGCTCCGGGAGGGTTTGGCTGATCCTCTGGGGCACAGGGGGTGACTCTTGGGGATGGGCCTGTGCAGGGCCAGGAGTTGGACTGGATGATCCTTGTGGGTCTCTTCCAATTCAGCATATTCCATGATTCTGTACTCCTTCCCCTAGATTAGTGCAAAGGCATCTGCTCTCCCCCCCTCTCCACACACTCTGCACAAGACACACATCCCTATGGCCATGGCTGCTCTTCTTTTGCACTGTCAGGTGACAGTGTCACAGGACTGTCCACAAATCCACATCCTCACTGAGCTCCCTGGGAGCTGACTATATCTATATTACTGGATTCTTCTCACCAGCTTTGCTCACTGTTTGACCTATTAATGTTGCATATAACTGTGCTGTCCAAGTAAAATGCCTGAGATAATTGGGGAGAAACTAAATATACACACATAAGCATTGCTGATTATTTATGTCAGAGAGCAGGTCAGGCTCTCTGATGCATTTCCAATCAGCAGATAAAGGAGCCCATGGCTTCCAGTGCTCTGCTACTACTGCTTTACAGGTCCTGGAGAGAATCCCAGCATGTCCCCATCTTTGTCTAATGAGATACTCCACAGCTCCAGCACAAAACCAAAACCAATGAAAGACAAACACCTTCCTTTTGTACAGTCCTTTGCCTTCCATGAACCAAAACCAAAGCACATGTCTCTGCAGCAAAACCCAAAATCCCATCTTTCCCAAAATCTAATCCAACAGAACCCCCATTCTGGACGGCTCAGTCACCTTCCTGCCTCCCAACAGGGCTGTGACTGAACCATGGTTTGAGGGTGGACTGTGCCATTCCTTGCTGTGATCATGGCAATAATAACCCTGGATTTTCCAGCTCCTGGATTTTCCCTGTGCCTTGTGTGCAGTGGGAGTTTGGTGCTCCAGGATGCTGCATGAACTGCAGATCAAAAGAAATTGCAGGTACGTGTCTGTTGGGCTCCAAATGGGAACCCCTGGAGCAGCCTTGGAGGACAAACCTTCCAAGGTACCAAAAGTCTTTCCTAAATCAGTCAGTTGGTCTCCTGCAATCAGAGCAGTCCTTATTTCCTGGTTATACATTTCCCCAGTGGCATGTTCCTTTGGACTGGTTTTGTCTGCTCCTTTCCATGGAGATGAGTAAATGGGAACACGGTGCAGTCTCGTGGCTGCTCCAAGTTACACCAGGAACACAGTGTGAACCAGCTGGGAAGAACCCGGAGGAGGGACAATACAATGCCCAGAAACTTGGGCCATCAGATGAAACAGCCCCATTCCCCCAACACTGAAGAAAGATACTGGATCCCCCTGGGAATCCTCACCTTACCTTGTTGAGGGTGTTGAGAGCAGCCTGGGCAGCTGCCAGGGCAGGCTCAGCCTTGGCCAGGTCCTCCTCACAGTCCTTCTGCTTCTGCTCCACCTCCTGGGTGATCAGTGCCACCTTCCTCTCCTCCTCGTCGGCCACGGCCTTTTTCCTGCTCACCTTCTCTGTCTCCACCCCCACCACCTGGATCAGCTTGTCAGCATCCTCACTCTTCTGCTTCAGCTCCACCTCCTGAGCTGCCAGCTTGGCCTTCAGCTCATCCACCTGGAGGGAAGGCACATGTGGAAGCAGGGACAATCCCCGGTAGCCCTGAGTGGGACCCAAAGGCAGGGAGGGCTTGTGTGTGAGGCAGAGCCCTGGGAAGCAACATTTCCAGCTGTGGAAGGACACTCCTGCTCTCCTGTGCTGCACCAAGCAGCCTGGCAGCACTGAGGAGCCCCGTGAGGAACCCAGCTGGGGAGATCCCAGCACCAGTAGGATGCACTGCTACGGGAATTGTCCCACCCCTGCTCCCTGCCTCTGCTTGGAGACTGGACAGAGGGACTAAGGTAACATGGACACTGCTTTGGGCAGGATCCAATGGGAAGTAGGAGGAAGCATATTTCAGATATTCTTGGGGTGATCTTTATACAACCCAGGAGCCCCATCACGGACCAGGCACTTGCAGGAAGCTTCTGTCATTGTAAACCCAAATACACCAGCTTTGAACATGAGCTCTGATGTCACATCTCCCCTATCTGGAGATCTACAGGTGCTGTGGGCAAGTGTTTTGTGGGAGAGATGACCTGGGATACAATTCTAGAACCATAGAATCTCCAGAGTCGGAAGAGACCCACAAATATCATCAAAGTCCAACTCCTGGCCCTGCCACAGGCCCATCCCCAACAATCCCACCCTGTCCCTGAGAGCATTGTCCAAACCCTCCTGGAGCTCTGGCAGCCTTGGGGCTGTGCCCACTGCCCTGGGGAGCCTGGGTAGTGCCCAACCAGCCTCTGGGGGAAGAGCCTTTTTCTATTCTCCAACCTAACCCTCCCCTGACACAGCTCCAGACATTCCCTTGGGTCCTGTCACTGGTCACCAGAGAGAAGAAATCAGTGCCTGCCCCTCCATTTTTTGTTTCACTTCTGAACCTGACACCAGCAGGATTGAGCACATGGTGGTTTTGAGGAAGACCTGTCCACCCGGAACCACAGAGCCGCAGAATCACAGAATGGTTGGGGTTGGAAGGGATCTTAAAGATCATCTAGTTCCAACCCCTGCCATGGGCAGGGACACCTTCCAAACCCCATCCAACCTGGCCTTGAACACTTCCAGGGATGGGGCAGCCACAGCTTCTCTGGGCAACCTGTGCCAAGGCCTCCCCACCCTCACAGGGAAGAATTTCTTTCTAACATAATTTTTCACCCAGAAAGATTACAATTGGGATCTGCTGACAGGTCCAACTCCAAGGCTCAAGGGGCTTTGAATGTGATGTCAGATGAGCCTGAGAAGGGATGTCCCACTGAGCTGGTCCCCAAGAGGCACAGTCATGGTGGCAGCTCCTCACACACTGCTCCACTGAGCAGCTGCTCCCTCCCAGGAGTGTTTGCATGGTCGGGAGGTCACACAGGCTCCCACTTGCACACAGAAAATCTCTTTCTAAAATCTCCCATGTCAGTGAAATTACCTAGGCTCTGGGCAGACCACGGAGGTTTTCACAGTCCTGATCTTCAGGCTCCTAAAGGATCACTAAGAGTTCCTGGGGCACATCTTTACCTACGCAGAAATATTCCCTAGAAGGGAAGCCAGTCCCTTGTTTTTGGTGAGATCCATTTTGACACCAGAAAGGAGAGCACAAGTTGCAATCTCCAAACTGCAGCTGTTGACTTTGGCATCAGCCTCACGTGGAGAGCAGTTCCTCAGGAGTCTCTGCATGCCCTTCATCCATCACCATCCCCTGCTGCTGGCACTGTGGGGCTGCTTTCACCAGGACAAAGGTAGGGCTGTAAATCCAGGCTTACAGGAACACTTAATCCCCTCATTTGACAAACTCGGCGGCAGCTCCTTGTTCAGCTCCGGCTCTTGGGGGATTGCAGGGAATTGAAGGGGGCTTTGCTGATGGCAGATACAGCCTGGGACCTGCTGCCTGAAACCCAGCCTTTGTGTGCTGGATATACACACAAACAGCAGCTTCAGGGTTTTACATGACCAGGACAAAACAAGCAGCGGATTAAAATCCACGGGCACCCAAGAGCTTTACAAAGGCAGCAGGTGTCAGCTGAGCTCAGCACAGCCCGGGGGAACAGAGAGTGCCCTGCCAAGCACAGGCAGGAATGAAAGGGGAGATCACTGGCTACAATGTTGTCAGCATTTTAAAAATGCAGGAAGGCTGAGGAGGGACTATTTACAAGGGCCTGCAGTGACAGGACATGGGATGGCTTCAAACTGAAAGAGGGGAAATTTAGGTTAAATATAGAGAAGAAATTCTTCCCTGTGAGGGTGGGGAGGCCCTGGTACAGGTTGCCCAGAGAAGCTGTGGTTGCCCCATCCCAGGAAGTATTCAAGGCCAGGTTGGATGGGGTTTGGAGCAACCTAGGCTAGTGGAAGGTGTCCCTGCCCATGGAAGGTGGTTGGAATGAGACGATCCTTAAGGTCCTTCCAAACACAGCCATTCTGTGATTCTGTGACTTTATGAGAAACCTGTGAGCAGCTTCCTGAGTGCAGAACAATTGGATAAGCAATTAGTAATGGGAGGTGGAAAGGGAAAGAGCAAAGCAAAGGAGAGATTCAAGGGTAATGTGCTGTGACTTCAGCAGGGGAGGGAAGGGAGAAGCAGTTGCCTATCACCAGGACAGCATGAGAAAAATTATTAAAGAACAGAAAACCTGGAGGGCAGGCTCCCAGAAGACTCATTTTATCTGATTGTCCCTGCCTGGTTTCAAGAACACAAAATACATCACAAAGGTCAGCGATTAATTGATAGCACAAGCCAGATTCAAATCGGGAATGCAGTGATGCAATATTAACCAAAGGCATCCTCAGAATTACTCAGCAGTGGGCTCTGATCTCAGTGCTGACCTCTCCATGGCAAACAGCACTCTGAAAAACAAATGACTCATCCCACACATCTTCCCAATCCATTATGTCCTAATAGGAAGGAGGCTTCTGCTGTTCTGAGTGCTGAGGACACTGCTGTCTGCAGGGAGAGAGGGCTGTAAGCTGATGGAAAGTGTTTCTGTAGAAGCAACAATACACAGATGTACAAATCTCAGAAGAAAAAAAAAAAATGGGGGGAGAGAAGAGATAAAGGAGGCAGAGAGATTAATTTGAAACTGGAGCAGCCAAGTCAAAAAGTGTCTGCAGCTCCTGGCACAACAGTCCCTCGTGCTGAGGCCACACTGCACAGTCTATAGAAACACATAAACTCATCATTAACTGTCATGCCATCCAAGCTACAGGACTCTGGAGAACGGTGCTCAATAGCACCAGTGCTCAGGCCCAGGGCACAACCAGGTCATACCCAGGTATCAAAACCCTCCTCCCCCCAGTGGATCAACTCCAAGCACCACCAGCACACCTGCGGATGACACAGCTGAGTGAGAGAGAAGACTTGTCACTTCCTCAGCCCCAAGACTGAGCATTTTGATGGGTGAATGTAAAGTTCAGGCTTTTAAATCCATATTCAAGATGGAACATACTGGCATGATTTCCAGTAGTGCTGAATATCCACACTCTGGTTTCAAATCAGGAGCAGTTTGACTATTGCGCACATCTGATAATTAAGGTGTTTAATTTTAGGCCCCCAGTGCTAATTTTAGATTCAAATTTGACATATTTGTCCTCACTGCTCTGCATCTTAATCAACTTCACCATCAGGCACCTCTCCCCCCAAGCCTCACTCCAGCCAGACACAAACTTTGTGCCCTTTCACCCTTCCTGCAACAGTAAAATCTCCCAGACCCCCTGGTGCTGTGGTTTCCCATCCTTCCCACTGCCTCCCCAGTTCTCCACCATTGTCTCAGCACCTGCTGTGTGAGAACCCTGCCAGCACAGCACCCACTGAAGAGAGGCCTGAAGAACACACAAAAGACACTACAGGGACTTGTTCTCCAAAGATGAGGTTCAGATCAGTTGCTCTCAATAAAAAAGATCATCTTGTCCTCTACTGGGGAATCATCAACAACAGCAGCACCTCACGGGTCAGCAGAGCTTTGGCCTCCACGGGTGAGGGGAGGTGAGAGGTGTGTGCAGTGAGGGCATGTTCTCATTGCCCAGGTGGGTGTCACTGCTGTCACTGCTGTCACTGCTCTCTGCTCCCGCCTGTTCAACCTCAGCTGCTTCCAACCATGGGAAGTTCAACAAGAGGAAGTCCTGGATTCTGCCCCTGGGATGGGGCAACCTCAGATGGACAGACAGACTGGGAATGAGATGCTGGAGAGCAGTGCTGGGAAAGGGCCCTGGGGGTCCTGGTGGTGCCAGTTGTCCCTGAGTCAGCAGTGCCCTGGCAGCCAGGAGGGACATCCCTGTCCTGGGGGCATCAGGGAGGGGATTGTCCTGCTCTGCTCTGCCCTGGGGCAACATTCTGCACCTGCAACATTGGGACCTGAAGTTCTGTCAGGGGAGATTTAGGTTTGATATTACACAGAGTCGCAGAATATTCTGAGTTAGAAAGGACACACAGGGATCATCGAATCCAACTCTTAAGTGAATGGCCCATACAGGGGATTGAATCCATGACCCCGGCATTATTGGCAGAAAGTTTTAACCAAAGGTTCTTCCCCCAGAGGCTGGTTGGGCACTGCCCAGGCTCCCCAGGGCAGTGGGCACAGCCCCAAGGCTGCCAGAGCTCCAGGAGGGTTTGGCTGATCCTCTGGGGCACAGGGGGTGGCTCTTAGGGATGGGCCTGTGCAGGGCTGAGGGTTGGACTCAGTGATCCTTGTGGGTCCCTTCCAGCTCAGCACATTCTGTGACTCTGCAAGGTGCTAAAACCTGCAAAGGGGACATGACATATGGTCCTTCCTCCTATGTCCTCACAGACCTGTCCTGCACCATGAGAAAAGCAACTGTTTGAAGTGAGATGGAGATGTCAGCACTGAGAGGCACCAGCACAGCCCATCCATCACCCTCCAGACAGGCCTGTGTCCCATGGAGTGTGACAGACATGATTTATGCCCCCAGCACTATCCAGAGCAGATATATGGAATGGAATGGACCAGCCAGTCCCTCATTCACATCAGCCCCTGCTTTCCTTCAGAGAAGCTTCAGGAGAGGTGCATTAGAAGTTTGTAATGTTTACCATTTGTAAGAGATAACAGAATATGAAATGAAGAGAAAAATGGGAGGTAAGCAACAGATGTAAAGAGCAAAGCACTGAGAGGCAGTTTGTGTCTCTACAGAGGTTTGGGAAATACCCAGAAAAACTTCTACTCATTGCCAGGGGACAGTGCCAGTGTGGCTCTTTAGCAGGGGCATTTTGGCATGACTAATCTGTATTTCAGACATGCATTAGTTTTCCTTAAAGATGGATAACACAGTGCAAGGGAAAATGAACATCAGCCTTATTTTAAGAGCATGCATTTAGTTTGAAGGAGTCTTGCTGAAGTTATTGTGGATTTCCTGGATGCAACTCTAAAAATCACTGATTGTCCCTGTATTTTATGAGCTATTTTGTCACCATAGATTAAATTTAACCATTAAAGGACGATGACACAGCCAGCTGGATCCCAATCTCATTTTACCTACTGTGATCTTTCAGTTACCAACTAAACAGCAGAGACTGGACACACATCTCTCCATTCTCCTTTCCAGGACAGAGCATCACTTCTGCTCCTCCAGGAACCCAAAGCCAGACTAGAGCCAGGATCCAGCACCATTTTTTTCCCTGTACAGTCTTAGCCTGTAAAATTGTCCTTCAAACCAGGATGCAGAGATGTCTCTGACAGAGAAACAGGAAAACCATCCCCTTGGAGCCCTCCGGGGTTGTTACCTGTGCAGAGGTGCTGTTGAGCTTCTCCAGGCCGTTCTCCAGCCGCTCCGTTTTTGCCTTTAAATCCTCGTCCTTTTTCAGCAGCAGGTTCTGGTAGAGTTTGATTTGCTCCAGGAAGGACTTTGGGGTGGTGTAGTTGTAGCGGCGCTCGTTGCTCAGGTACAGCCGGGACATCTCATTGACACTGATGTGGACATGGGCCATGAATTTGCTTATTGAATCTTTCACTGAATCCTACAGGCAAGATGAGAAGACAAGGATAAACTATTTTAAATAGAAAACTATATATAACACAAGGCTGTGCTGAATATACAGGAATTTGGTAACTTTTCTTTCTACTGCAGCACAGTAACACCTAAGCTGATCCCTTTTCACTGTTATCTCTAAAATAACTTTGTCTGCTTATGTACTTTATACCTCTTTTTATATCTTTTTATCTCACATATTATCTTATTCCAAGCAATTTTTCTAGCACTCAGCTCTACAAAATAACAGCCTTTTAAGTATAAATTTAGGTTTCTCTTCTGTACAAATGGGAAAAGTGCACACTCCTAAAAAGAAACATTGTAGACTTTATTCTTCCCAAATCCTTCCCAGAAAAAGTAAATAAACAGAAATTAATCTCCCTTAATCCAGCAGCATGTTGCCATCAATGAGAACTTGAAATATTTTTGCCCTCGAGAATTCCAGAGGCTCAGACACGTGTGGGGAGAGCAGAGTGTGTGTTCCCTGCAGTGATCAGGAGCATCAGGTTATTTTCTGTGCTGGGTTGGAGCTGCCTTTGTGCTGGCAGAGCAGTCCTTCCCTGGCAATGCCATCAATGCCCAGGAGCGTGGTGCCCGTGGCACTGCTGCCAGCGTCCATGTCCCTCTCTGAAAAACCTGGACCTTGTTTCAAGGACACTTTGGTTGAGTTTGATGCGCTTCAGTGCTACTAGCAGTGCCCCTCTGGACAGACACCCAGGTGTCCTGGCTCTGTGTCGCAGGCCCCACCTGCAACACTGGGGCAGTTTGGGGGGACACAATGGAAGGAAGAGATTGAGCCATTAGAGAGTGTCCAAAGGAGGCAACAAGGATGGGGAAGGGCCTTGATTTGAAGGCGTGTGAGGACACTGAGGGCACTTGGTGTGTTCAGCTGCAGTTCCACCTTCCTGGGCAGGGGCAGAGGAGGGGCAGGGACTGAGCTCTGCTCTGGGGGGACCAGGGACAGCAGCCAGGGAATGGCTGGAGCTGCGTCAGGACAGGCTCAGGTTGGATCTCAGCCAAAGGTTCTTCCCCCAGAGGCTGGTTGGGCACTGCCCAGGCTCCCCAGGGCAGTGGGCACAGCCCCAAGGCTGCCAGAGCTCCAGGAGGGTTTGGCTGATCCTCTGGGGCACAGGGGGTGACTCTTGGGGATGGGCCTGTGCAGGGCCAAGGGTTGGACTGGATGATCTTTGTGGGTCCCTTCCAGCTCAGCAGATTGTGTGACTCTGTGTTAGCTCTCACCTCTACAGCCCCCATGTCTCTCAGGAAGCAGAGGCTGACAGACTCCAGGGCCTCCCGTGGCCACTCCTGGAACCAGTCAATGGTGGTGCAGCTGACGAGGGCTGGGAACCTCCTGCTGCGGAGCCGCAGTTTGGAGCCGACGGGGGAAAAACACAGAGCAACCTGTGGAGCCCAATGAGGAGAAGGGAGGAGGCAGGGCCAGGAAGAGGCACTGGGTTCCAACCATGCAGCCCATCCCAGACTCCACCAGCCACTTCCAATGGAGGATCCCACAGCTACCACCCAAACAGCAGAGACTGGACACACATCTCTCCACTCTACTTGCCAGGATAGAGCATCTCTTCTGCGCCTCCAGGAACCCAGCTCAGTCCAGGTCAAACCAAGGGAGCGGCAAGCTCTGTCCTGGAGCCCTTTGAGCTTTCTAAAGGCCCAAAAGTGATGACAACAGACAGCACACCCCACGCTTTGGAGCACCTTGCTGGCAGAATCCCAGCTCATATCATGCCCTGGCAGCAAAGCCTTTCAGGCTGCAGCCCCACGGGGCAGCCCAAGGCATCTCCACCCCACACATGTGCCCCAAGGGGGATGGGAAGGATATGGCCTCCCCCATCCCTCTCACCTTGAGCTGCCGCCGAGCCCGCTCTGTAAAAAACTTCCAGCAGGTCTCCCTGGAGCCCACCAACCCCCGGCCTTTGACTTCATTCCTCACACTGCTGATGATGTTCTCAACTTCCTCATCAGAGAAGAGATCTGGTATTTCCCCTAAGAGAACAGTTTGGGGTTACTGGGCTGGGTGTTTTTGCACTCTTAGAGCAAAGGGAAGCAGCTGCCTCCCTCTCCTGGGGCCCAGGGAAGTCCCTTCCTCAGGTAAAAACAGGTGTCAACAGGTCCCAGCAGCAGCAAAGGGGCACAGAAGGTCATTCTTCTAAAAAAGAAACACTTAAGAAAGCAAACTTCCTTAAAAAGCCAGGGGAGAGGGACATAAAACAGAGTCAGAGCACGGAAAGTCCATTTTTTTTCGTTCTACAGAGCTAATTAGATTACAATAAAATAATCAAATCCCTAATATGCTATACAAGATATAAAATCATTTTAGTTTGGCAAGTGCATTATTTATATGTACAATTTCTGCAGCTGTTCAGGGCCATTTTCAGCATGGTCAAAAAACTCCCAGATCACCAAAACATTTTAAAAGCTAGAAATCTCGTAAACATTTTTAAAATTTAATAGTTAAGGAATTGATTGCCAAAAATGGACCCAACCAGATAATTTTTTTTAGTGCTTCTTTAATTTGTCACCTACTCGCTTCCTTTCTGGCTTCTGATTTGATTAAAATCCCCTTTATTGAGTCAGATACTATCAATATGAGTACTAATCACTTAAGAAAATACATTAATTCAGATATCTCCTCATTTCTAAGAGTGACTAAAAGGTATATTCTGTTCTGGCTTTCTAGATGATGATAAGAAGTGAAACAAGTAAGAAAACAGAGGCTGCAAAGCAGGAAGCAGCCAGAGCAATCAGCCAGCACCCCCTGGGCAGCCCTTGCTCACCTCATGGGGAGTCTCAGTCTTCTATGTTGCCTCCCAGACCCTAGAAGGGGACCTTTGACCTGTCCCCACAGCCCCCAGAGCAACCACAGGAAAACCTGATGCCTTTCAAAGCCACCATAAGCCACATAAGCCGCCAAAGGCCACCACAAAGCCAGGATGCTCAGTCCACCCCTCACTGCAGGACAAGGAATCCCAGAATCCTAGAACGCTTTGGGGTGGGAGGGACCTAAAAGCTCATCTCCTTCCACCCCCTCTCACAGGCAAGAACACCTTCCACTAGCCCAGGTTCCTCCAAGCCCCATCCAACCTGGCCTTGGACACTTCCAGGGATGGGGCAGCCACAGCTTCTCTGGGCAACCTGTGCCAGGGCCTCCCAACCCTCACAGGGAAGGATTCCTTCCCAGTATCCCATCTAACCCTGCCTCTGGCAATGGCAAAGCCATTCCCCTTGTCCTGTCCCTCCAGGCCCTTGTCCAAAGTCCCTCTCCAGCTCTCTTGGAGCTCCTTTAGGCACTGGAAGGGGCTCCCTGGAGCCTTCTCTTTTCCAGGTGAACACCCCCAGCTCTCTCACCTGAGCTTCACCTTCACTCATCAGGTGTTTGTGCATTTACACCAGGAGCTGGTGGGAGCTACTCCCTGCCCTCCACAACAACCCTTGTCCTTGCTCCTGGTTACAAATTCATCACAGGCAGCATTTGCTTGATGCTGAAACCATCTGGCCACCAATTTACAGCCACAAATGTCACCTCTGGAGTTATTCACAAATAACTATCAGTTGTGCTGCTGACTCCTGCCACCTCCCCATCCCTGGAGGGCACCTGAACCAGCTGGTACCTCCCTAAGCCTGGCTCATAAACAATGCCACAAGTGGCAGGCAGTGATTTCCCAGGGAGTGTGGGAAACACGCCCACTCTGGTTGTTCCCCACAGTCCCAGTGATGATGCCTCAAAATCTACGTTTAATAAGTTTTAATATAGCTTGCTAGTACCTTTGTACAAAATTCCTAAAAATGCTGTTTAACATTCTTTGTTGAGAATTTCAAAGATAAGGGATTTTAACAAGGGGAAGATTTCTCTCTCTGTAAAAACATACTGAGAAAGAGACATAGCACCTGATATAACCAGTCAAAGTTATTCAGAACCCTGGAAACCATTCCAGAGGGCATGACCAAAGACCAAGGGAAAAGATGAGGAAGATGAAGACAGAAGGGTCTTCCAGACCTCTGACTAAAATTCGGGAGGTGTGTCAGGGGTGGGGCGAAGGTGGGTGTAACAGCATTAGGTAATGCTTTGAAATGTTAATTAGGTAACTAAATAAGAGCAAGAGGCTTTTGTAACTCTGGGTGGTGCTTTGGAAGGTAAAACTCACTGATTGAGTCTTTGGGCTTTTATCTGGAGCTGGTTTTAGGCACCAGTGACACAACCTGCACTCCCAGGGAGCTGCAGCACACCCGGCACAGTGGGTGCTCACCACACATCTGTGCCACCTCCTGCAGGGAAGAAGAGCACTGGCATGGACACTGATTGCTCTGCAATGGTTTTGGTGAGCAACAACCCAGAAGCATCTGGAAAAACAAGAGAGGAAGGACTGGAATGGGATAAGCAGCCAGGTGATGCACACAGACATGGTCATCATGGCTTTGCATCATCCCCAGCTCACAGATACTCCACGGAGGAGGATACTCTGCCTTGATAGGTCTTACCTGCCTTGGGCCTCAAATCCAGCCAGAGAATCCAAACAACGTGCTGAGCTACCACTGGTGCCACGGTGCAGTTTTGGTGTGGAATTGTGCTAAAACCAGCCTGGTTCACTAACTGCAAACACCCCCCCCTGCTTTTTGAAGCAGCATTTGACAGAAAAGCTGCTGGCTGGCCTGGGAATACGTGACTGGCAGTCAATCACTTTATAACTATAAAAGCCCAGTCCAACTTTCATATGGCAGATTCTTCCACAGGCTTTCTTGGAGTGTGTGGAGCTTCTCCTGTGAAGCAGTGACGCCTCTTCATGGTCACTCCCCAGGGGCTGAGTGAAAGCGAGAGATCTGCCCAGGATCCTTGTGAGTTGAGTTACATCAATCTCTACTTAATGACTGTTTCCTTTTGCCAGCTTTGATACAATTGCTTTGATAGAACTGCTTTGATACAGTGCACTTGCCTATCTTATACTGTATCAGGAGTAGTTTTTAGCTTTTATACTGTGTAGTAAATAATTCTGAGTAAGATCTTTCATCTGTTCATTTGTCTGTTCATTTCTCATAATAAATAATTCCCTTTACATAAATATATCTGATTTGACATCATTAAAACCTGTGGGACAAAGTGATTCAATCACAACTCTGTAATTCCTTAAACTGTGGACAAAATCTGAGGCTCCTCTCTGATGAGTTTAGAAAGCTAGGGGGTCCTTTCTATACCTTGTAGCTCAATGAAGGGGCTTTTCTAATAAATTTTGTCTAAGCCTTTCACTCCCCCCCAACACTCCAGTAAATTTTTCTAGCCAGGAACAACCTTAATTTATCAGGTGGATGCATGGGATCCATAGGTGAAACTCCTCACCTGGTGATACATCCTTCAGCTGCAATATCCCAACAGACACATCATATAACAACCATGTGCAGTATTCCATGATGTATGGAAAAATGGGTACAAGACATGAGGGAAAGTAAAGAAATCTCCCAGCTGATGGAGCTGCTCCCAAGGGAGGCCCCAGCATGGCTTTTACTCAAGGGCTTAAGCCATGTAACTTCCAGTTATTCCATTCTTGCCCTTCTGTAGATTCTAGAACTCCAGGTGCTCCACTGAAGGGGGGAGAGGAGAAATCAAAGCAGGAGGGATGTACCTGTTGCCAAGAAGTCGTTGACCAGCACCAGGAACTGCTCGTCCGCCACCTGCACGTCTGTCAGCAGGAACACGGTGCCCGTGTTCTTCACACCAGCCTTCAGGTACAGGTTTGCCAGGTCTGCCTGGAGGTTGGAAAGCAAGAGGGGTTGTCCCTACACTCTGCAAAGCATAGGCAGGGTATCAGAGCTACCAGTGGGATAACTCAGAACCTTCCCATGCACTGAGAACAAAGCAATTGCAATTAATTAGTGTGAAACTGCACTTGGGCCACTCTGCACCTTCCTGTCCAAGCCTTCCAGGTCCCTGTGTCAGCCCATCATTGTCAGGCATTTATAGGTAAGGCTTGACATCATGCCCAGGTCTGTTTAACACAGAACTTAGAAGAAGGTCCTGGCCAGCACTGCCAGACCAGGGCAATGCCTGTGGCTGAAACGTTGACAGGTCAATGAGATGTGGCTGAAGGCACCAGTGCAACCCCTGGCTGTGGAGATTGTGATTGTTCATGTTTTCCTGCCTGCTCCCATGGAATAGCAGTTTTATTTCAAAGAGAACAGCATCCACCATCTTTGTGAAATCCAAATTTTTCATGAGTTGTATCATCATAGAATAGCTTGGGTTGGAAGAAGATATTCATCCAGTTGAACCTCCATCCTTTCCTTCCTACCCTTCCAAGCAGGGTACCAGATGTGGGGGATCCTGAAGGACTGTGCACTGGACAAGGGTTCAGAAACTCTCTTAGAAATTCAGCAAACATACATGGTTTTTCCAAAAAAACCACAATTTGCTACATTGATCACTGGAAATCTGGATTAGACGGATAACAGTGGGAAGGGCCAATGGCAGATGGGGGAGATGTCACCATCTTGCTCTCCTATAGCTGAGAAAAAAAAATTACACTATATTTCAACTCAGGAAGAAATTCCTGACTGTGAGGGTGGTGGGGCCCTGGCACAGGTTGCCCAGAGAAGCTGTGGCTGCCCCATCCCTGGAAGTGTCCAAGGCCAGGTTGGACGGGGCTTGGAGCAACCTGGGCTGGTGGAAGGTGTCCCTGTCCATGGCAGAAGGGGGGACTGTGTGGTCTTTAAGATCTCTTCCAACCCAAACCAGTCTCTGATTCATAAATTCTTTGAAGATGAATACAGAGTGAAGGGAACATCAAATTATCTCCCACCTCCAGAGACAGAGAAGCAAAGAGATGCTTTGAAAACAAGTTGATTAAAGCTGGTATTGAGCTCTATTCCCAGCTGGGGGCTCAGGCTGCCACAGGAAATGGGAGGTAGGAGCTGGAAAATCCCAGGAGTTGGGCTGAAAACATAGGAGAGCTGAAAATATCCAGTGGATGGTGGGACAGGCTTGTGTGACATGATGGAAACAACCTGAACACAAACACAGGTCATCAGGCTGTGCCACTGATGGGGAAGGAACCCGGAGTCATTGGCCATTGCATCTCCCAGCAGAAGGGAGTGAAGTTACTGTGGCGGTGGTTTTCACAACATTTGTAATGCAAATCATTTTACCAGTAACTATAAAACCTTAAAAACCTTCCAGTGACATCCCAAAATGTTAATTTATAACTCCTAAGCTCACTGGCCTGTGCATAAATATAAGCAGGTCTTTAGTGAACCATCCACAATCCACTCAGTCCCTTCCACATACAAAATACCAGAGGAGGAAATGGATCTGATTTGGGATTGGGATTTTCTGCTTGCTCCTTTTCCACCTCCAAATCACAATGGGCACCTCACAGATGAGCTAATTACCACACACTGGTTTAACTAGAAATATCTAGGGTTCATTAGCCCAGCTTAGAGCTGACACTCAAGGCTGGTCTGGAATGTTCTCAGGCCTGGCCAGCTTGGAGCACTGGCAGAAGACACCGGGGGCTGCACTCTGTGCAGACACACTTCAGCAAGGCATTAGGAGCAGCATTGCTCCTCCCCACAGAACTCTGTCTGGAGTGTTACAGTACCTCAGGATCACAGAACCATTTAGGTTGGAAAAGCCCTCTAAGGTCATCATATCCAACTGTTCCCCCCACACTCAAGGCCACCACTGACCCATGACCCCAAGTGCCACATTCACATGACTTTTAAATCCCTCCAGAGATGGGGACTCCACCACTGCCCTGGGCAGCTGTGCCAGGGCTGGAGAGCCCTTTCCATGAAGAAGTTTTCCCCAACACCCAACCTGACCCTCCCCATAGCAGCTTGAGGCCATTTCCTCTTGTCCTGTTCCTTGTTCCCTTCAAGCAAAGACTGACTTCCCCCCAGCTCCCCCCTCCTGTCAGGGAGTTGCAGAGCCAGAAGGTCCCCCCTGAGCCTCCTTTGCTCCAGGCTGAGCCCCCCCAGCTCCCTCAGCTGCTCCTGCTGCTCCAGCCCCTTCCCAGCTCCGTTCCCTTCCCTGCACACGCTCCAGCCCCTCAATGTCTCTCTTGTCTGAGGGGCCCAGAGCTGCCCCAGCACTGGAGGTGCCCCAGCAGTGCCAGCACAGGGACAGTCCCTGCCCTGGGGCTGTGACACACCAGGGCTGGCACAGCCCAGGGGCCATTGGCCTCTTGCCCCCCTGGGCTCACCTGGGCTCATGTCCAGCCCCGTGTCATCTCCACAGTGCTGTCTGTCAACATTCAACAAGACAAAGTTTTCAGGGCAAGTTCTGCTCTTTATTTCCTTCCTCTCCAGCTCAGCCTTAAAAGCCACCTACCTTCAGGTCAGGGATGCCATACCCCTTCCTCAGGGTGATCTGGAAGACCTCCAGGGAGCTCAGGAATGCTGCCAGCCGGGTCAGGCTCTGCTTCCCACTGCCTCCCACGCCCACCAGGAGCGCGTTCCCTCGGGGGGACTCCAGGATGCGGTTGATGCGGCAGCTGAATTGAGGGACACAAAATCTCTCATCAATAGGAGTATTTTTCTATTTCTCTGCCCGGTGCTTTCAATACATATTTTATTCACTAAGAAACTGTATTCTGAGTGGGATGAAAAATGTCAATCTCAGAGCCATGTCAGCAATCGATCCCCAGCTCTGTTGAGACCCGCAGAGGATGTTGCTGATGAAAAAAACCCAGTGTGGTGGCAATTCAGATTGTGCCCAATTTTTTTCCACCTGCCAAGTCCTGCTGGACAGAACTGTGTCAAAGTGAAGGTCTGGATATCTTTGCAGGGAGGGCAAGGGGAGAAAGGACAATACATTGACATGCAACACCTGAGAACAGAAGTCAAAGCTCTGATACAACTCCCCAGGAAAGGCCTCTCTTCTCCAGGCATTTGTGGTTTGTGCTTGGTGAGGAGTCCTGCTGTGCATTACAGAATATTCACACGTGCCTGGAATGGCACAAAACCTTGCTGGACAACACAGTCCTTGTTCCTTAGTTAGGCAAACCACCACTACTTCAGAGTGACATTTTCTTACTCTTAAAATGAACTTGCTGTTATTTTTTGGGTCTGGTCACTTGTCCTGTCTGAGTGTCACACAGTGAACTCTGTCTGCCTCCCTTTGATGCTCTTTAAGCAAATTCTGACACTCCCACATGTTAATACACCCCAGGAGAGGAGGGTCCAGAGGAACTTAGTTGTGGAACCCTCACTGTTCTGTGTCTGAAACTCAAGGACTGTTCCCCTCTTTTATTTCTGCCTTTATTCAGCACTGTCTTTATTCAGCTCTCTTCACTATTTCCCTATACTAATATAATTATTTTTCAAATAAGACTGTGAGAAACACTGCATTGCTTTATTACAGCTCAAGTATTTTATGATCTATGCACAGACTCCAAATGATTTTTTAATAATTTTATAATTATAATTTAATAATATCTGTGAAATTATTCCCCTAAAAGCAATCCAACCTGTGAGGAGAGTTTTAGCATTCCTGCTCTCAATTCCCCAGGCCAGCTCTGCCCAAGGATGCCACCGTGGTCCCTGGGGTGACTCACAGGTATCTCCCACGTCCCTACACAGATAAAGTACTCAAAATTCATTTTTTTCTTTTTTTTTTTCTCTCAACTGAAAACCTTCAGCAAATTCAAGCTGACATTCTGAAGCAGTTTGAGATGGAAGAAGTTGCGTATTTCAGCCAAATGCAATTTCCAAATGCAATTAATGGAATTCCCTGCCTCCAGTGAAATCCTGCTGGATACTCAACCCTTGCCTTCATGATTAGCCCCAGAATTAACTGGAGGGATAGTGCAGTGTTTTGTGACAAATTCTAATTTATGTAAAATGCAAGAGGAGCACAGGGTTAATATTCCTGTGAGCTGTCTGCAAGCAATGCAAGCAGAAATGCTTGGGGACATCAGGGTGCATGTGACTCATTAATGCAGAAGAGTAAATGAATGCCCAGAGTGCCAGGGAAAAGGTGCCCCAGGCCATTGGAAAAAGGGACAAGTTGGGAGCTTTGGGAACAGACATGGGTAAGCAGTTTGTTAACAGGAGTAGCACATATATAAATATATATATATATATATATATATATATTTAATTTGCATGACAGCAGCCACATTAGGCTGCCAGGTCCAATGAGAACTGAACCCCCCCTCCCGGGTGTGCAGCAGGACACTGCCTTCCCTCCAGCTTAGAGTCCCAAATCTGCACCTCCTGGGCCAATGTTTTCATACAAAATCAGTTACAACTCTGATTGCCAGGGTAGGTCCATGTTCTGAAGTGATGCAAGGCCAGCTCTGCATTTCAGCACCCGGAAATTACTCTGTCTCTGCTGGGATTCCCACAGGCTGTGTTTGAAAGCTGGGGGTGCACCTCACTATACCCCAGGCATGGAAACACCTTCCTAATGATCAACAGGAGGCTTGTTATTTTCACACAGTCCCACATGTCCAATTTCCAACAGGAATCCATCTGCACCTCCAGGCACCTAAATGCAAGTGAGCTTACCAAAGGATCAAAGCAGTTTAAATGCCTCTACCCTTTCAAACTAGTAGCCTGAATGCACAAAATCTTACTTTATATTCATAGGAAAATCCCACTAAGAACCTGTGTAAACATGGCTCTAAACCAGTTGTCAAAGCACTTGGGGAAATCCCAGTACAACCAGTTGTGTGCTGAGTGTCAGGGGAAGACAATAAAGCCCTTGAAGGTTGTCATGTGTGATAAATGTTTGTGCCATATCAGAGCATCAAGGGCCAAAGATTCCATCACACCACACGGGCAGGTGAAGCTTCATCACACCTCCAGCTCCATCAGCTGTAATCATCACAGAATCATGGAATTGATAAGGTTGGAAAACACCTTTAAGATCATCAAGACCAACTGTCCATCCAGCACCACCACATGTTCACCACCAAACCATGTCCTGAAGTGTCATAGCCACATGTTTTTTGAACACTTCCAGAGATGGTGAGTCCACCACTTCCATGGGCAGCCTGTGAGAGGGCTTGACAATCCTTTCAGTGAAGAAATATTCCTTGATATCTCATCTTAACCTCTCTTGGCACAACTTGAGGTCATTTCCTCTCCTCCTATCCCTTGTTCCCTTTAAGCAGAGCCCAACCCTCCCTCAGGTCCCCCCTCCCCTCAGGGTAGCCAGAAGGTCCCCCCTGAGCCTCCTTTGCTCCAGGTTGAGCCCCCCCAGCTCCCTCAGCTGCTCCTGCTGCTCCAGCCCCTTCCCCAGCTCCCTTCCCTTCCCTGCACACGCTCCAGCCCCTCAATGTCTCTCTTGTCTGAGGGGCCCAGAGCTGCCCCAGCACTGGAGGTGCCCCAGCAGTGCCAGCACAGGGACAGTCCCTGCCCTGGGGCTGTGACACACCAGGGCTGGCACAGCCCAGGGGCCATTGGCCTCTTGCCCCCCTGGGCTCACCAGGGCTCATGTCCAGCCACTGTCACCAGCACCCCCAGTGCCTTTCCCACCAGCAGCTTTCCAGCTGCTCTGCCCCAAACCTGGAGCATTCCATGGGGTTGTTGTGAGGACCTGGCTCTTGGGCTTGTTGAACCCCATATCACTGGCCTTGGCCCATCGATCCACCTCCCTCCATCCTCCAGGAAACTCCACGAAACAATCTGCACACACAAATGCTATGGCAAGACCATAAAGCCAGAAAATCCCCTTACACATGGCACATGGCATCCTCAAACAGCACCAGGTTCATGGCAGCGTTGACTTCATTGTAGTTATCCAAGGCTTCCACGAGAATCTGGTTCAGCTCCTCCCAGGCTGCGATTGGCCTGTACCCAGGTTCCCCAGTGCCTTTAGCAAAATGGCAAAAAATATTCATGTGCTTGGTCTGCTCTAAAGTTTCTTCCATGTCCTGTGAAAGAGAGAAAAAAATGTGCATATGAAGTATAGAAACCCCAGTGCAGCTCTGTGCCCCCTGCCAAGGGAAGTACGGCATTCCAGCCTTTTCATGTCCATACAGTTGCACCTGCAACTATAGTCTGCAAAGGGGAAAGAGGGACAAGAGAGAAAGGGGGGAAAGGAAAATCCCTAATAGTGACTTCCTTTCAAATAAACCCATCCTGTGGTTCTATGATATGTTATCATCAGAGTTACACCTCAACACTTACATCATAGAGTTTCTTCACCATCTCCCTCTGGATTTTATCAAAGGTACCATAATCATTTGCTTCAACCATCTTATCCCGGTACACCCGGTTGGACTCGTGCAGGTAGAGCTTCACTAGGTCCTGGGGTTCATTCAGACATTCAGGGGTAGAGAACAGGAGGCCCTGCAGACAACAAAGGCAGTCAGGAAACCCAAGCTTGACCCCAGGGACCTCACCCATTGAGCTGGAGTGTGGCTGAGTCACCCTCACAGCAACCTGCAACCGAGCTCCCAAGTGAACAGCCTCTGGAGAACGTGCCCTTTGGTACCCAAAATTTCCCAAAGCCAATTATCATGGAATCCCAGAAGGGTTTGTGTTGGAAGGGACATTAAAGATCATCCTGTCCCACCCCCTGCCATGGGCAGGGACACCTTCCACTAGCCCAGCTTACTCCAAGCCCCATCCAGCCTGGCCTTGGACACTTCCAGGGATGGGGCAGCCACAGCTTCTCTGGGCAACCTGTGCCAGGGCCTCCCCACCCTCACAGGGAAGAATTTCTTCCCAGTATCCCATCTAACTCTGCTGTCTTTCAGTTTAAGGCCATTCCTCCTTGTTCTATCACTACACGCCCTTGTGCAAAGTCCCTCTCCATTCAGGCACTGGAAGGCTGCACCCTGTCTCCCTGGAGCCTTCTCTTCAGGCTGAACAATCCTAACTCTCAGCCTCTCCTCACAGCGGAGCTGTTCCAGCCCTCTGATCATCTTCGTGGCCTCCTCCAGACTGGCTGTAACAGCTTCAGGTCCTTCCCATGCTGGGGACCCCAGAGCTGGACACAGTGCAACAGGTGGGGTCTTACAAAAGCAGAGGAGAGGGGTAGAATCACCTTCCTCATCTGCTGCCCACACTGTGGGGGTGCCTATTCCCCACATTCTTTTGAATATTTATACTCATCACAGCCATTTTGACCCTCCTCCCAACCTCCTCCTTGCTGGGCTGGGGGTCCTGCTCTCAGCACAGGGACCATCCAAGGTCAGGCCCAGCCCAGACGTGCAGCTTTTTCATCCTGACCCCACACCATGGGTGCTTTGTCAAGAAGGAAAAATAGTTTGGAAATGATAGTGGTGGTGTTTTTTTTTAAATCAATTAATTTTAATTAGGTGCATTCTGCCTGCAGGAAATATCAGTTGCTGTCTGCTTAGCACAGTATGTTTACTATGAACTCTATTAAAATGCATAGAAGAATTATATTTCAAAGAGGTGTTGCCTATGCTAAGCCTATTAACAGCACACAGGGTTTTCAATGGTATGAATTAAACAGACAGTTTTTATTCCTAACATCTAATTATTTTTACATTAAATATAAAATGCATTGAAAGCAATGTAAAGCAGGCCCTCTCAGCTCACTGGTCCATGGCTCAGATTGTTTGGGTTTCACATCTGTCATTACAGTTGCCAAAGTATTCTATTTATTTCAGAAAAAAAAAAATAGTGAGAAGAGCTGACAAATAAAAGGGAGGAAGGAGAAAACCATTGAGCCTTAAACTGGTTAAAATAAAAATTAAAAATCACTCAGTCCCTCTAGAGTCCCTCTAAAGGGACTGAGTCTGAAGACCCCCCATGCCACAAAAGCTGTTGTGTTTTTGATGCAAGCACGTGTAAGGCATCAGGGGCAAGAAAATCCACACCTCCTAAATCTGAAATCACTTACTCACTGAACATCTCCCCTTTTCTCACTCTGCAAACCCACCCTCCTCACTCCTCAACAATGACCAGGCTCTTCCACCAACACAACCAGCTGCATCCCCTCAGAGTAATGGGGTCCTCCATGGGTGGTGAGCTTCCAGGAGAAGCCATAACATCTATGTCTGGGATGCACGAGGGACACATGGCCATGGGCCACTGCATCCTGGACGGATGTAGTGCCAACATTAAAAAGAAAACAAAGAAAAAGAGAGGGTGGAGAATCCCTTGTCCTGTGCCACGTCAGTCCAGTTATCCTGCTGCCTGGGGAGTCCTCAGGTTGCATTTCAGCCAAATCTCTCAGCTCGCAGCTTCTCCTCCTTGCCAGGAAGGCCAGAAACTGGTTACAAAGCCCTCTCTGCTGTGCTGAGGCTTCTTGAGACAATAATATCAAATATAACAGAATCCCAGGATAGGCTGAGCTGGAAGGGACCCACAAAGATCATCAGTCCAACTCCTGGCCATGCACAGGCCCATCCCCAAGAGTCACACCCTGTGCCCCAGAGGATCAGCCAAACCCTCCTGGAGCTCTGGCAGCCTTGGGGCTGTGCCCACTGCCCTGGGGAGCCTGGGCAGTGCCCAACCAGCCTCTGGGGGAAGAACCTTTGGCTGAGATCCAACCTGAGCCTGCCCTGACACAGCTCCAGGCCATTCCCTGGCTGCTGTCCCTGGGCCCCCCAGAGCAGAGCTCAGTCCCTGCCCCTCCTCTGCCCCTGCCCAGGAAGGTGGAACTGCACTGAGGTCTCCCCTCAGTCTCCTCTTCTCCAGCTGAACACACCAAGTGCCCTCAGTGTCCTCACACACCTTCAAATCAAGGCCCTCCCCCATCCTTGTTGCCTCCTTTGGACACTCTCCAATGGCTCAATCTCTTCCTTCCATTGTGTCCCCCCAAACTGCCCCAATGTTGAGGTGAGGTCGCCCCAGGGCAGAGCAGAGCAGGACAATCCCTTCCCTGATGCCCCCAGGACAGGGTTGGCCCTCCTGGCTGCCAGGGCACTGCTGACTCAGGGACAACTGGCACCACCAGGATCTGTCCCTGGTGATGACAAAGGACTCTGCAGCAGGGTCACTGTGGTTGTTGGGGTGTGGGGAGTCACACCAGGTTCTGGGAACCACCAGCCTCCACCTGGGATTCACCAGCTCTGGATTCCCTGCAGGGTAATGCTGAGTGATGGTTCCTCAGAGGCTGAACAGACACCCCAGGAGACGAGGACTATTTGGCACAGAACAGGGAATATGCTCATCATCCCAGCAGGACCCACTTGCCCTGTCACTGTCACCCATCCCTGTGCCACCAGGGACAGGTTGTGGTGGCTCTGGCAGGGCAGGACCTGACCTCAGCCTGGTTTTTTTCCCATAATCTCCATGAAAAGCAGTAGAATGAGGAGCAATCCTTGTCACTACTCCTACTCTCTGGCCCAGCCCCAGGATCTGGCAGGACATTTTCTAACACCCCTTGGCTCCTTTCAAGCAGACAACAGTTCAGATTAAAGCTTCCCATTGAAATGCTTCTGTTCCCTCTCTGTGCCTTTCAAAACCCAGATTAACTGGAAGCCAGGATTTAACATGACCCACATCTCACATCAGGGCTGCTGTTCAGCTGAGCACAAGTGACAGGTCTGATTCCTTTCTGACACAGTGGAGTTATTAACTTGTTCAAGGTCCTGTTCTCGGATTTCCCATGTCCTGTCATTCTTTCAGCTCTTGTCTGATGGACCAGACACAAGACATTGAACTTCCAGCACCTGCTTTGTAAAACAGATGTTAACAAGGATAGCGACAAATTACCAGCTGGGGGTTTAGAACAGGTTATGGTGTTTCAAACCCCTTGATTTGGCTGCTGAGAAATTTCTGTAATTTCGTTAATCAGCCTGAAATTCTGAAAGGTTTTTTGAGCAGTAACATCTACTGCTTCAATGTATGAGATTGCTGGGGAAAACACAAAACTAGGATCTCTCCAGTGATGGAAGAAAACATTTCTAAAGCTGGACAACTTCCCTTTGGTACAGTGGCTTGTAATTCAGTTACAGTGATTAAGTCAAAGCTGGTTTGGAGTGATTTATCAGCTCTTTAAATGCCATCCTGTACATACAATGCTGAGCACTTGAGAGGACGTGACAGTACAGACCACCAAGCTGTCCTGGCTCTGGCAGAGCAGCTGAACCAGACACTGTTCTCCTCTCTTCAGGGCCAGCAGCCCGCAAAGTAGGCACTGGCTGCTCCACACAGTAAATGATGTCCCTGTGTGGTGGAGAGGTGCCATTGATCCCACACTCACGAGTGGAGCTGAGACTAACAAAGACAAGCCCAGGTCCATCACACTCACCAACAGCCAATGCATGAAGGGCTGAGATTGGGAGCCCAAAGCTCCCTCCAGATAGTTCCTTCTCCAGCCAGAGAACACTTCAACCCCCCCTAAAACCCACACCTCCTTCTGGAACTGTGCATCCCTGTCCACTGACCAGAGAGGCTGGAAAGCAAATAAGCTTTTAACTGATGTTCCTCAAAGTCATGGGTGGTGGCTCTGGAACCCAGTCAAAACCAAGTAGGAATTAGGGAATGGCCCAAGGTCATCCCTTTTACTCAGAAATTGCTGGGTGGGACACTGTGCTTTGTTCACCAAGGGCCAGAGGGACACAGGTCCACAGCCTCCCGTGGCATTGGAACAAGCTCCAAGTGCCACAGACAGGGACTGCACTTACTTGGAAGATGTTGGAGAAGTCTCTCAGATTGAAAATGTAGTGGAACTTGACAGCTGTTGGCAGGAAGGTGGCAGCCACCCTCCTGTGCAGCCCCAGGGCGAGGGCAATCAGCTGCTGGGCTGATTTTTGCACAGCCTCCGAGAAATTCCCACTGGTCAGATGCTGCACTAAAATGGTGCTGTAGATCCTGGTCAAGGCATCCTGGTCAGGGTTGGAGAGAGCGAAGACACAGAAGTGACGCTGAGGAGGAGAAAGGGAGACATGGAAAGGTCAGAGAGATGGGCAGTGAGCTCCCAACTCAAATGCCTTGTGAGGACTTGATGTGGTTGGACACAGTGCTGGATAAACTACTCCAGGCTCCACTTCCCAGGCAAGGTTGGCCCAGGTGATCTTTCGAGGTCCCTTCCAACCTGGGATGCTCTATGATCCCACCAGAACTATCGCCCCCTTCCAATTTCCCAGCAGAGGACAGTTGACAAGTGACACCTTTTGCTCACTGAACAAGGGATTTCCAATGGCATTTCACAGTGGCTACACTGTAAGCTCAGTCCAGTGAAGAGTTGAAAGGTCTGAAGGTCCCACTGACCCCTGATGAAGCCCAGTCTTGTCTCTGGTAGGAGCAGCCCCTGGAAGGTGCCACCTCTCAGAAGATCCTTTATTGATTTGGAACTTGCAAGGAGCAAGAAGATTATAGAATCATTAATGTTGGAAAAGACCTCCAAGATCATTAAGTTCAACCTTTGACCAACTCCCAAATCCCCACTAAACCATATGGTGAAGGGCCACAACTACTCATCTTTGGACACTTTCAGGGATGGTGACCCCATTCCCCTGGGTAACCAGTTCCAGTGCCTGACCACCAAAAAGCTTTCATGAATTATGGCCCAGAGGTAAATATCACCTTAATGAAGGTAGAATGTGCCTGTCTGAATCAGAAGGTTTCCTGAGAATGGGTGTGGCTGTCCAGGAACCTGGGACTTCTTCCTCCCACTGAGCAGCAGAATGAGAGGAAACACAAAGAAGAGAAAAAGGCAGCAAGTTTGCTGCCTCTCCATCAGGAGTTAGTCGCTCAGCAAATCCAGCATGTTTCTACTGATCAAATCACATCAGGATCTGCCAGAGATTCTCCCTGAGCCTCATCTTGAACACTCCACCCAAAGCCAACCCCAGGGCAGTGCCATCGTGCGGGGCTTTACCTGCAGCCGAGGGTTGATGGTGAAGCTCCCCGCAGTGGGGTTCATGCAGGACACGTACTGCACATTGGTGATCTCCTTCAGGGACAGCCTGCTCCGGTCATACCTTTGGGCAAAGCAAAAGCCATGGATGGTGACCAGAGTAGTCATTGCTGCCACCCCCTGGAGCTTGTTTGTGAGCTCCCAGTGTCCCCGTGGCTTCAGGGGACACATTCAGGGGAGTCACATCCTGTCCCTCACCAGGGTGGGGCCCAGAGCTGCTGCATGGCTGCACACAGAGTCACAGAATCATGGAATATGCTGAGTTGAGGGATCCACAAGGATCATCCAGTCCAACTCCTGGTCCTGCACAAGCCCATCCCCAAGAGTCACCCCCGGTGCCCCAGAGGATCAGCCAAACCCTCCTGGAGCTCTGGCAGCCTTGGGGCTGTGCCCACTGCCCTGGGGAGCCTGGGCAGTGCCCAACCAGCCTCTGGGGGAAGAACCTTTGCCTGAGATCCAACCTGAGCCTGCCCTGACACAGCTCCAGCCATTCCCTGGCTGCTGTCCCTGGTCCCCCCAGAGCAGAGCTCAGTCCCTGCCCCTCCTCTGCCCCTGCCCAGGAAGGTGGAACTGCAGTGAGGTCTTCCCTCAGTTCTGCTCTTGGAGCTGGTATTTCCATCAGCTGGTAACAACCACTGAGCAAAGCCAGACCCATCACTGGTGTGGAAATTGTGGGAAATCCCAGGAGTGCCTCCAGTTTGGGCCAGCCTGGGATGGGGTAGGAGGGCTGCCCAGTGCTGCCCATAGGGAAGGATGGGGGGGCTGCCGGAAGAGCTGGGGTACAGCCCCCAGAGCAGAGCTCAGGGTCACTGCTGGGCAAGGTCAGCCCAAGAGCACAGGGAGCTGTGCCCCTCTCCTTGCTCACCACCCTGGGTGAGCTGCACCCTGATGGGCTGTGAGTGGGACCAGCGAGGGGGTAACACCTGAGGGGCACTGCCAAGAGGGGTTAGAGAGCTCGGGAGAGCCTGGGAGGGACAAGGGGGCACAGGGTGTCCCCACATGTCAGTGCTCCCATACACCCCCTAAGCTCTCTTTCTGCCCAACCTTCCCAACACCCACAGCCCCAAATTTCTGCCTCCACTCCACTGTCCCTGTACTTGGGAAGCTTTTGGCCAAGGTTAGGAACACACACAACTGAGGAGACTTGGAATTGCTCCAAGTCCTTGCCCTGTATTCTCTGTGAGAGAGCTGGGAGTATCCCTGTCCCACACAGCACTGCTGGCTGAGGTGTCAAACGCACCAATCTCCTTCCAAAACACTGTCAGTGGTTTTCCTTCAAATTACCTGTGCCTGGAAAATGCCTGTTTGCTGCTGCCTAACTGAAAACAGCCTCAGGTGCTCACAGTAGGGGTGGCTCATCCCAGCTGAGGCCAATCCATGTCCTTCCCCCACTCTCAGCACGGTAGGGCTCAGGCTGAGCCTTGCAGGCTTTGCACTGGGATCAGTCATGAGACTGAGCAGGAGTGGAGTGAAGCTCCCTCAGCCAGGCAGGGAGTGTGTTTTCTGGGGACAGGGGACACCCTGAGGGTGCACAATGGCCTGTTCACCCAGAGCCTCCCAGCAAGCTCCAGCCCATCCCAGCCGGATGCCGTGGCCAACATGGGATGGGAAGAGGGATCCACACTGTGACTTCCTCTCAAACTCCATCCCCAACAGCAGAGCTGGATGAAAAGGTCTTGGCCCCCAAGCCTCCTACCAGTGTCCATAGTCCAGGTGCTGCCTGAGCAGGGTGTGGGGCTGCACTGTCCCATACGTGTCCACCTGGGGCATGTTGAGGTCGTCGATGAAGTACACGAGCCTCTTGGTGCCCGGGGGGCCGTAGGTCCTGCCAGCCTTCTTGTCCAGAGGCTTCTCCAGCACACCTGTTGGGCAGAGGGAAATAGAAATGATTCCTCAGCCCAGTGTGAGCAGCTCCAGCAGGAGCCCAGCTCTGTGAGGGCAGGTAGGGTCCGGGTGGGCAGAGGGGGAAGCCTGTGGCCCCCTCAAATCCATCTGGGCTGTCTGGTGCTCTCTGGGGAGGAAGAGCTGGTCTTGGCACAGGACAGTGGCTGTCCCCAGGCTGTGCTTATGGAGCACCTAGGAGCCCTTCAAGGGGCTGGCAGGATGGTGGCTGCCCCCAGGCTGTGGCTGGCAGGGACCCTCAGGCAGATTTTTGGTCTGACTCAACCCAAATCACAAAGTTTTCAGTTCCTCCTTGCAAACAAAACACAGCAAACGCTCTGCTACAAGCCTGGTTTACTTCAGAGCAAACAAAGCTCTTCATGCAAGATAAAGCCTTTTGAATCCCTTCTGCCTCTTTTTTTAAACTCAGTCCTACTTTGTGAGTTTATTCTGATCCACAACACGGAGGCAGTGTGTCCCCTCCACTCCCCTGCCCCAGATGTACCACAGACACCCCCCGAGCCCAGGCAGAAGTGACTGGGCATTAGGATGGAACCAAGGAGGTGCTGGGGCACCAAGCCCAGGAGCAAAGCTGATTTTGTGAATGAAAATGCACTTCTTATGTTTGTTAGACAAAGGAAATGGGTGTTTTCAGGGATAAAATCCTGACAACTTTAGAACAATCAAAATAATATTATTTATTTGAATGTACCAGATATAATCACAGAATCACAGGATGGTTTGGGTTGGAAAGGACCTTAAAGATCATCTAGTTCCAACCCCCTGCCAAGGGCAGGGACACATTGCATTATCCCAGGTTGCTCCAAGCCTCGTCCAACCTGGCCTGGGACACTTCCAGGGATGGGCCATTACATGCTCTTCTCCCAAGTCCCTCTTCAGCTCTCCTGGAGTCCCTTTAGGAACTGGAAGGTGCTAGAAGGTCTCCCTGGAGCCTTCTCTCCTCAAGGCTGAACAACCCCAAATAACAACCAGTTCTCTGATCCCCTCCTCAGCATTACCCAAACCTCCAGAAAATGCAACAAGACTCAATTGAAACATGAGCTGTCACGTTCCCACCCAGTTTTCAGTCAAGTCACCCATGAGCAAAGGACAGCACGGAGAGAAAACTTCTCATTTCGAAGCTCTTAAAGAATTTCCTTTGTTTAGCAGAAGGCTGAGGTTATATGTTGCTCTAGACTATAACATATGGGGAATATTTATGATGCTGGGCTGATATTTAATGCAAATCACCCCACACTGCTGCACATAATGTTTTACAGCTTATTGATTCCTTTCACTGCAGCCCAAACAACCTTTCCTGCCTCAGTAAGTGGCAAAGCACATAGCAGCAACTCTCCTCTGCCCAGATCCTGGGATGATTTTCCTGACAAGGAGCTTTCTTGGACATCAGGGGCTCCCTGCTCTCCTGGGGATGGAGACAGAACTTGTTGCATTGGCTCAGTTTGGGGTTAAGCAGCATGACAAGGAACACTTTGTAATTAGGGATGACTAGGAATTTCAATAAAAATCTCCTTGTGCAAATGTTCACTTTAGCCATTGCTTACCAAGGGCCAGAGATATTTTAAAAAAAATTATATTCTGGTTTTTTTGATGACAAATCTTTTAACCCCCCCCCACACTTTTTCCCTGCAGACAGTCTGGCTTGCCCACTGCTCAGAATTCAGCTGTTTTCTTGCCACAGACACTTGCTACAGAAAGGCATGAATTGTGCTCAGAAAAATGATGGATTTTTCCTCAGCAGAGTCTCTCTCCCCCTTCAATAAAACCACAATATTTGAAATTTCTGGTAGCAAGTCAAATTAAGTGTTTCAAATAAGCATTTAATTTAAATTTAATTAAGCCTTAATTAACATATAAAATCAGCCCTTTTCGAGGTTAAACAAGGATGCAGGAGATTCATCATAGTGAAATGCAATTACTGGGGATGAAGTGACATGTTTGTGGAAGTTGCATTTTAATTCAGAGTCATATCCCACAATAATTCTTGGAGGGTCCCTGTTGCTGCCTCTGAGCTCCTGACACACCCCCAGCAGCCCCTGAATGGAACACTCAGTGCACATCAGACTTGGCCAGTGTGGCTCCTCTTGCCTGCTGGCTGATGGTCAAGGGGATAAAAAATACTCTTCCCCAAAAAAACAACATTTATTGTCATTTTCTTAAGGCAGATCTGGAGCGGGAAGGTGTGGAATGATATCAGGGTAGGGCTAATGGAGCAGGGAGGAGGAGCAGAGGTCCAAAAGGGCACAAAGCAGCAGATCAGGGGCCACAGAACGTGGTATTTGGTCACAATACACCAAAGAAAATCCTAAAACTGGTCCCAGGTTTGGGCACAGAGAGATTCTGGCTCCTTTTAACCTCTATGCATGTGAAATTTTGTAAGCCATAGGCCTGCAGTTATGGTTTGAATGACAACTCTGTGCTCCCCCAGAAGGATGCAGCTCTGCACCTTAAAAATCTCTGTCCCAGCAGGTACTTTGTCTAAGAATTCCTGGCTTTCAAGCTCTTTTTAAAGTAAATAAAAATAAAAAATCCCAAACTGCTTTGTATGCACATTTTACAAATCTAAAGAGGCACCTGCTCAAGCGACAAAAAAGCAGCCAACTGACAAACTCCAACAAAAGGGAAAAATTAACTCTAAAAAATGAGCAGTAGGGAAGGAGGCCAAGTTGTGTAAATCACACTTCCCAGAGCAGATCTCCCAGCCACATCTTCATCCCCGTGATGAAGATGTGCTGTGCTCTGCAGAGGAAGGAAGTCACGGGCTCAGCCCAGAGCTCAGAGCAAACAGGGACACCTGGCCAGCTCTGCCCCTGTCAGCCCCCTCCCCTGCACATGCCCACCTGGCCAGAGGGGCACCCACAGCACAGGTGCCCCCCAGGCAGCTCAGCCCACCCACCAACCCAAGGGCATTTCCCAGAGACCCCACGCTGGGAGGAAAGGACAGGCTGGAATCCAGAGGCTGGTTGGGCACTGCCCAGGCTCCCCAGGGCAGTGGGCACAGCACCAAGGCTGCCAGAGCTCCAGGAGGGTTTGGATGATCCTCTCAGGCAGGGCCAGGAGCTGGACTGGATGATACTTGTAGGTCCCTTCCAACTCAGCATATTCTGAGATTCTGTGATAACCATCACACCCTCAGGGCTGCAAGACTGGCCAAAAGGGGAGGCTTTACCGAGTTTTTGTCTTGAAGGACAGTAAGCCAAATAATTTGCCTTCTCACTGTGTGCAGAGGCACAGACACTGCCCTGTGGGGTGATGAGCTCAGGCAGAAGGCTCCAGCAAGCCCAGAAATCCTCCCAGCCTGCCCCAGGAAGCAGCTGTGGCCCCACAACACTCAGTTGGTCAGAACACGGTGCCAATAACACCAAGGTCACGTTTGATCCCTGTATGGGCCATTCACTTAAGAGTTGGACTTGATCCTTGTGGGTCCCTTCCAACTCAGAATGTTCTGTGATTCTGTCACATGGTCCCAGCCCACAGAGCATGGGCTGGGCCTGTGCTGTCACCTCTCTACAAAACCTTTCCTAGGATGTTTGCAGTGTTGGGAGCCTGGCAGAGCAGGGACGAAGCCCAGGACACTCCCTGCCTTCAGCTCTGACCCTGGCTGGGAGGTGTCCCCACCTGGCACCCTCAGCTGGGAACAACCAAACAGGGAAGGTTAATCCTTGGTCTGCCTGGTGCTTCACAGGTCATCAGAGAATCACAGAATGGTTTGGGTTGGAAGGGACTCTAAAGCTCATCTCACTCCACCCCCCTGCCATGAGCAGGGACTCCTTCCACTATCCCAGGTTGCTCCAAGCCCTGTCCAACCTGGCTTTGGACACTTCCAGGAATGGGGCAGCCACAGCTTCTCTGGGGAAGTAGAAGGATTTCAGGACTTTTGAGTCAAACCAAGCTGAATAGAGGAAGTAGTGTGGTATACAGTGACTCACAGCTGTTTTTCAACTCAAAATAAACCAGGTTGCTTCATTACTGGTTAATAAATACATGTAAAATTATTTATTTCTCTTGGGACACCATTCCAAAATGAGCCACTTTTCCAGAACTACATCCTTTCTCTTCATCTCTGAAGAGACTGCACAGCAAAACTGACCTTATCTTGGGATCAAACTTAATATTTCACTGATTTGCCAAAATCCCCATCAGAGATATCCTTATGGACATTCCCTGGGGCTCTGGATCCCCCCAGTCAGCAAGCCCTGTGCCCCTGGGGAGGGGGTGATGTGAGACCTGCTCTGTTAGGCTGCAGCAGGATGGGAGGACAGCCCCAGGATCCAGCTGTGGCTTACAGCCTGCACTTATCCATTCGTACCATCCTCTGCTTAATTGAGATGCAATTCCCATCATTGCATCCTGAGGACAGTTTGGATCCTTGCCAAGAAACTCATCCTATTCAGCACGGGCTTAAATTCCAGGACATTAAAGACACACTTCAAGTCAAGTACAAGCCATAAAAACTGTAGCAGATTGAAGCCTGTGTTTGGCACAGCCCTCAGGGTGAGGGGTTCAGGATTCAAATCCTCATGTTGGAAAACAATATCTTCCACAAAACCAGGGCTCTGCTGACCAGAGAGTTTCACTGTGGGATTTAAGGGTCTGCAAGTGCCAGTGCAGTGCCCACAAACCACACAGGCAGCCCACCTACAGGTCGACCCCTGAACTCTCCGGTGATCACACACTCCAAACCCCAATTGCTGCCCCAGGAATTCGGGAAGGTACCAGGAGAGCTGTGACTCAGTCAGAGCCTTACCCTGCAGCATGGCAGAGGTGGTGTAGTAGTTAAACGGGACCTTCTTCACCACATATGTGTCTGTGTCCAGAGAGGAGAGTTTGTCCCCCACCAGCACAGACTTCCCTGTGCCCGCACTGCCCACCAGCATCACGGGGCGCTGGCGCTCCAGGAGCCTGTCCAGGAGGTACCGCACACGAACCGTCTCAGGGGTGGGCACCAGGCAAGCCTGAGGGGCAGAAAGAGCAGGTGATCGTCCCCATCCCTGCCACCACCCCATAGCCATGTCACAGACTCACAGAGTCTCAGAATGTGCTGAGCTGGAAGGGACCCACAAGGATCATCCAGTCCAGCCCTCAGCCCTGCACAGGCCCATCCCCAAGAGTCACCCCCTGTGCCCCAGAGGATCAGCCAAACCCTCCTGGAGCTCTGGCAGCCTTGGGGCTGTGCCCACTGCCCTGGGGAGCCTGGGCAGTGCCCAAGCAGCCTCTGGGGGAAGAACCTTTGGCTGAGATCCAACCTGAGCCTGCCCTGACACAGCTCCAGCCATTCCCTGCCTGCTGTCCCTAGTCCCCCCAGAGCAGAGCTCAGTCCCTGTCCCTCCTCTGCCCCTACCCAGGAAGGTGGAACTGCAGTGAGGTCTCCCCTCAGTCTCCTCTTCTCCAGCTGAACACACCAAGTGCCCTCAGTGTCCTCACACGCCTTCAAATCAAGGCCCTTCCCCATCCTCCTTCCCTCCTTTGGACACTCTCCAATGGCTCAATCCCTTCCTTCCATTGTGTCCCCCCAAACTGCCCCAATGTTGCAGGCGAGGCCGCCCCAGGGCAGAGCAGAGCAGGACAATCCCCTCCCTGATGCCCCCAGGACAGGGTTGGCCCCCCTGGCTGCCAGGGCACTGCTGACTCAGGGACAACTGGCACCACCAGGACCCCCAGGGCCCTTTCCCAGCACTGCTCTCCAGCATCTCATTCCCAGTCTGTACAAACATGACCTTGAGAAAAGTAAAACTGGGAGAGCCAGGAATGTGTGGTAATCCCAGTTTCCAGGCTGCACTAGGAAGGGAAGGACACGCTGCTGCCAGCCATTAAAATCAATCTTTGCAGGTGGAACCCTGATGGCTGGTGCTGATCCAGCAGCAGCTGGATCTGTCCATGAACACTTTGCTAAAGCAGTGACAGTTTTTATAAGTCATCTGCTCACTGTGGCACTTCTGGAAGGACAGGGAAGCACAGCTGGCAACCACAGTTCATCACCTGAGGAACCCTTTTTTTGGCAAAAATATAAACTCATCTCTATTTCCAGCCAGGCAGAATAACGAGATGTTGTCCCAGGGTCTTTGTCCCTACTCTGTCTCACATCCCTTCTCTCTGCAGGCCAGTTTCCCCCATTCTGCACCCGGGGCACACCAGTTCCTGGGTCCTTGGAACCCTGCCCTTCCTGTACATAACTCAGATTTGGGAGACAGTCAAAGCACAGTACAGAGGATGGGTAATTTAGCTGTATCCATCCTTAGTGTGCAGTGCCTGACTTTTCACCAGACTTCATTGAAATACCCCCTAAAACACGTTCTCCCAGCCAAACAACCACCTGGGGTCACCTACCTGTAATGGCACCTCTGGATCAAATTCAAACTGGGGAATAAGTTTAGACCAAGGCTCAAACTTCTTTGTTTCTGGATCAATGTAAAAGTCAAAGACTGTGCCCTGAGAGGGAAACTTGATTGTTTTGAATTCTGCCACCCACCACTTGCTGAACTCCACTCTGTAGTCCACAAGCTGCAAGACAAAGAGAGGAGAAAATATGCTAATCTGGAGAAATTCATTAGTGATGGAGAATGTTATCTATCCCTGTCCAACAGAGTGGGATTAGTCCCTAAAATATATTCCACAAGATAACGATCTTATCCTTTTTCCTATTATTAAACATAATTTTTCAATTTCTTCATTTCTTCTCATCACTCCTGTTTATTCCCCTAAATAATTCATCCTCTGTGTTGATCACTCCTAGTCTGTCTGAGATGAAATAGATGGATCAATTTGAAAAAGAGAAATACGTGCCTATGCCTAAACAGACACTTGATTGATTCTTGGTGCCTACTTCTTCCAACAGACAAGGACACCACATCCATCTCCATCCATGGCCATGGACAGTCAGAGCATGCATACCAAAGCCCTTCCTCATAAATCACACCACTCTGCAAACACTTGGTTGTTGTTTTCTGGCCTCTTTTCAAACAGGAGCAGCAGCACTGCAGACACCAGTGTAGCAAAGCCCTGGAGAGGGACCATGCTCCTGTGGCTGTTTCCGTGCCTGAGAAGCACCTGCTTTCCTGCTTTTTGCCATCCTATCTTCTGTATAGAGATTTTGGAGCATCTGAATTCTTGTCAAGAGCTAGGGTGACAGTTTTGGCTTTAGATGTTGAGACAGGACTGGTAAATTATGCTTAGTCCCCTCTCCTGCCCCAAGTTTCCTCTGTGACACTGGGCCAGTCACTCCACCTTCCCACACAGACCATAGGGACTGCAGCCTTCAGCCCTGGGGAGAAGTGGAGGAGGGAGGGGAAAAGTGCTGCTAAAAAATGTCTGTGAATGATTAGATGCATAACTGAGCCAGTTTTAGCAGCACAAGTTGCTCCTGGGGCATCTGTGGTTCTCTCCTCCCTACAGCCACCCCATGGGCCAGCACACATGGATTGCTCAGCTGCTATCAGCAATCCTGGGTTTGAGCTGAGTACCCTCTGCAAAGTCCCCCGAGCCACCATCCCTCAAAAGACCAGATGATTTGCAAAACACATTATTAGTATCCAGGATTTTGCAGTCTTGTGCTACCCAGAGGGACAATATGACTGTAATCTCCATTCTCCCGTTGTCACAACCCCCTGGCCTGGCAGTGGAGCAGCAGAGAGGGATGGGCAGCACTGCTAAAAGCTTTCTCTCAGTGCTGCCCTTACCCTGCCTGCAGAGCAGTGGGATGGGCTGCCTGCCTTCCTGAGCCCTTAAATGGAGCAGTTCCAGCCCCAGCTCTACTGCCAGAACAGTGTCAAGCTCAAACTGCTTCCTTAACAAAAACCCCATATGGATTTCTGTTAATTTCAGAGCCTGGAAATGGCAAATCTATCATCTGTTTTTATCCAGGGCCCCTCTCCCCACCTCCAAACAGAGCAACAGGAAGCCTTCCAGCCTGTTTGTCCTGACATTTCAGCAGCAAAAGGTCAGCACGAAGGGCCCCCTCAGTGGGGAGCAATAAACAGCTTTTATATTGGCTCATTTTTCAGGAGGCTGCCCCTCTCTGGGCCGTGGTGCTGCGCTCTCCTTGCTGACATTTACAGAGCGGCACAGCGGCAGCGCCCGGCCCAGCCTCCCAGCCCAGCACCCTCCTGAGGGATGCTGTGCCTGCACACTGTGCCACCCACCCAGCTGTGCCATGGCCTTGCTCCTGGGGAGCCAGCACAGCCAGGGACACTGCCACGGCATGGGAACGCTGTGTCCATGTGCCACCCGCTCCCGCTCCAGGGAACCCACCCCAGGAGCTGGAAGCCCCTCTGAGGAGACAGCAGCTTGTACTGCTGGTCAGGGACCAGGCGTGCTCTCCAGGTTTGGTTTGTTGGCTTTTTAACTCACCCTGCACTGACAACACTAAGGCTGAGTTTTTCCCAGCTGGTACACAGGGAATGGAGGGTTAAATCCTCCACAAGACCCAAGAAAGCTGCACTCATACAGGTCATCCCATGGCCACGAGGTGTGACGGCACCAAGGGAGCACCATGCTGAGCTTGACCAATGTTTATCCCTCGCTGAAATATCTGCTCCTTAGCTGGAAGCAAACACAAGGAGTCCAGCAGATGTTGTTGGTTTAGCACTGAGGAACATGGACAAAACACACTGGGACCCCAGTGAGCACCTGAGCATCCCCTGAGAACAGCAGCGGGAACATCTCTGGTGTCAGGTTCATGGAGAGACCTCCACATAATCCAGACAACACGCAGCCTACCAGACACCAGGTTTGGCTCTCTGTGCCCTTGACAGTAGTGTCCTGCCACTGGGCAGACCCATAGGTGGGACAACAGGCTTTATCCTGTGACCAGGAGATGTGACCACACAGCAGGGACCAGGCAGGACCAGAGTGAGCAGCTCCAGCCGATGTCAAATGTGCCTCCAGCAGCAGTTTTGCAGACACTGCCACTGAACCCTGTGCCACCTGCTGAAAGCCTGGGACTCCAAATCTAGGTCTTCACATACCACACGTGCCCTTAGATCCCTGTACAAGCGCTTCAGGTTTCTCCTGCCTGCCCTGAACCAATCACGTGAAAAATCTCCAGGTTTCCCAGCCATCAGTGTGGAAACAGCAATGCCAAGGGAGGTTGGGAAGGCATCCTGCAAGCACAGGCAAGTACACAGCCCACTGCCCTCTTGTCTGTTATCACTGCTAACAGCTGGGAACTATAAAACAGCATCAGCTTTTCCAATTGCTTGGAAATCAAGAGACAGCCCTGCTGTGTCGAGACCACGTGGTCAGAAAACAGGGCAGAATGGGACATGGGCGAAAGGAGATGCCCACTTCCCTCCTGCTTACAAGGCATCAGGGCAGAGACAGAGGCAGCAAAACAACCCTGCCTCCCCCAGGCAAGCCTAAATCTTTCCCAAGATCCCTGTTCACGTGCTCCAGCTCCCACAAGGCAGCTGTGTTTCAGCCCAGCTGGGATTGCTTGTGCTTCTCCCACGTTTGAAGGACCAGGAGCTGGGAGGAGGCTGGAAATGTGCAGTATCCAGTGGTGCCTCCCAGGGATACCTCCCTGGCAGAGATCACACCCACCTCCTCTAATGAGGACAGATGGATTCTGGGCTGACAGCTGCAATCAACTTTGAACGTCAGAGGTGCCACTAATGAACCACGGGCTGATTAATCCTCACAGCCCAAGAGGAGCTTGATCTCTGGATTGTGCCCTCCAGAACTCCTTTGTATTTGGATTGTGCCCTCCTGGGCTATGGGCGTCCATCCACTGTTGCAGTCCAAAATTCAGATACCCACAGAAAAAGAACTGTTAGGGTATGTGTGGTAAACCTGGGGCAACAGAGGCTGAGAGAAATCACTTAATCTGAAGGACTTGACCTTCCTCACAAGACCTGTTGATGTACAACCATGTGGATTAACCTGGCTCCTGCAGCAGGATAAGGAAGGACTTTGAGATGAAGTCATCAAACCGTGTTGAAACCCCTTTGTTTTCTTCCCCCTCATGTAATCCTGGTTAAGGGAAATATTAAGCAATTGTGTAACTGTAGCAGAAACCTGTGTAATCCTCTAGTTAACGTAAAGCCATCCCCTAATTAACACAACTCGTCCTCCTCATTAACATGTCCAGCCCCCAAGACCCTTAAATTGCACTCACTTGTTCAATAAAGTATTCTAGTTTTTGCCCCCATATCGGGGATCATCTTAGCTTTCTGGACCCTTATAATCCACCAACACCACAACCAAACCCAGCTCCTCACTGCAGAGACCCCCAATAGCTGCTCACCCAGACCTGAGAGCTCCAACCACCCACCTCAGCCTCACCAGCACCCTCAGCCAAGGGTGTTCTACTTCAGGGGGAGCACAAAGCCCATTCTGCCCTGCCCCACTGACCACCCCTTTCTTGTGTAATTCTACCAGAAACTGAGGGCAGCCAACTCTCAACATCCACCTAATAACAGTCAGAAACAGGTTTGTGCTATACCTGCACATTTCCCTGCACAGTCAGGTGGGTGGATAAGGCTCCCTGATGGATTCATCTGATCAGTCCATCTTAATTTGATCACATTATGCACATCCACACACCGCTATAAATTAACCGGATGTTTCTCCCCAGTGGAATGCTTCTTCATAAGCAAACATCCCCCCACCTCCATCCCATGACCCCCTAGACATTCTTTGGTGTTACCCTCTGGATAACAAGCCCTTTAGTAAAAGGGATTGTTCAGTTGAGGTTTCTGGGTCAAACACCATCACTGACACAGCATTGGGTCTGGGAAAGTAGGAAAAAAAAAAAAGAAAAAAAAGATCTGCATGAAAGATGCTGATGTGGCACCTCCCTTCTTACCTGGTCCTGAAACATGGATCCACCAAAGGCCCAGACAGCAGCAAAGACAAAGTAAAGCTCATAGAGCTCCTTGGGACAGTCAGAAGGTGTGTTCTCCTCAGTCAGGAGGCATTCCAGGAGGTAACACAGCATCTGAACCATGCTCTGCTCAGGAATGGGAATAATCTTCTTAAATCTAAGGGATGAAAATTGAGAGCATGGGGAATACAACTGGGTGAAACACCAGGGTTGCTCCAGCCCAGGAAGGCAAGGCAGGAATGCTTTGTCAGAACATCCGCATTTTCCTTGGCAGCAGTGTGGGTCTCATTCCCTTTTCCTTGTCTCATTCCCCGGAACAGCACTAAGGAGAACATCCATCCCTTCCCTGGGCCCTCTGGCACTGGCACACGCACACACATGATAACAGTAATCAGAAGTTTCAAGCATTTTAAAACTTTGATCCTCTTGAAAGAAGTAAAATGGAAGAGTTGCTGAAGGCAATCATTTCCTGGGAACACGAGGAGTTGAAAAGCGGTCAAATAGAGGAGTAATAAAATCAAACCTTTCATCTTGCCATTTTACATTTGTTTAAGCTACACTTACAGAATTCCAAACTAATACTGTAGCAGCACTGAAGTCCTCCATAAAGTAATTACAGCTATTTGAAAGGTTGGTTCTACAATTTCTGAATTAAGCAAGCTACCAAAATGCTCTGCTCAGGCCTGCTGCAGCTAATCCTGGGATTTCATGGGCTGACACAATGATCAGCAAAGAGGGTGGGAGGTGTCAGATGGACTTTGCTGCCAATGGCTACAGCAGCTTGGGCACCCAGAGAGCAGCTCCCTAGCAAGATTCCCAGCTCCCACTCCCAAGGAGCAACTGCCTGCACTAAAGCAGCTCCTCCTGAACCCTCCCCATTGGGGCTGACAACTGGGTTGTACATTGACTTTTCTTCTTTTTTTACATATATATATTTTTAATGCAAATGCAGCTATGGGGAACAAGCAGAAGATGGGAGAATCATACAATCATAGACTGGATTGGGTTGGAAAGGACCTTTTAAAGGTCATCTAGTCCACCCCTCTGCTATGGGCAGGAACACCTTCCACTAGCCCAGGTTGCTCCAAACCCCATCCACCCTGGCCTTGAACACTTACAAGGATGAGCCACAGCTTCTCTGGACCAGCTGTGCCAGGGCCTCACTACCTTCACAGCCAAGAATATCTTCCTAATACCTAATCTAAATATCCTTTCTTTCAGTTTAAAACCATCACTCCTTGTCCTATTGCAACAGGCCCTGCCAAAAGGTTTGTTCCTTTCTCTCTCACAGGCCCCCTCCAAGTACCAGCTCCCTCCCTCAAGGTTTTTGGATCTCTCCTTTGGCCAGTCCTCACCACTGTGTGGGTCAGAGAGCTGTGTCCCATCATGACAAGCAAGAACTGTGGTCTTGCCCAGCTTCTCTGTGGGCACTACTTTGAGGGTAACTCAAGCCAAGGAGCACCAGGACCCCTTCAAATATCCAAGATCTTCATGTTCACGAGTCTGGTGTCCAGCCAGGAAACATGCCCAGCTGGATGCTCACACAGACTGACTTGATTGTATTCAAATGCATCAGGAAAGAAATTCAAGAGAGGACTGCCTGGAGAGCAATCCACCCTCTTATACAAACACCAGCTTCCTTCTCATCCTCAAGGGGCAGGAAAAGATATGTGGCAAGAAAAGTGGGGAGAGGATAAAAGAGGATCTGCTCTCTCCATCTTCCACACTGCACATGGAAAAATTCCCTTCAGCAGTGGTCTAAATCTGCTCTGCTGAAAAATAACTTGTGGAGTTAACTCAGGTCTGGGCTGACACATCAGGAGACTGGAAAGACTTCCTCTTTAGGATCTCCTAGATTAACTTTCCAAGAGATACAGAACCGATATAAGCACAGAATCAAGTCACTATCCAGTGAGGAACAGATGTGCCCAGACAAGGATGGGCAGGAGTGTCAGCTGCCCCCTCACCCTGATGTTCCTCTGAGCTGAAGTCAATGACACTCAGGGCTCTGGGGACAAGGAGAACACTGGGCACACGTTACACAGAGCACAGCCCCAGCACAGCTGGTCTGGAAAGTGGTGAGTGAGCCCCTGCCTCCAGGTGGTACCTTGTCCTGAGGGTGTCCAGGCAGACTGGCAGGTACTTGTCAAACAGGATGGTCAGGTTGGCTCTCTCAGACTCGATCTCTCGCCGGTCAATCCAGCTGCTCACCGGGGGATTCCAGCCCAGGTCCAATGGGTTGATGTACAGGATCCCTTCAGGCCCAGAGGAAGAGAGAACATACAGTGAGGACGCAGCAGAGACCACAATTTCCCAGCAGAATTTCTCAGCTACTTTCACACAACTAAAACCCTGCCAGACACACCTGGTGCCCCATTACCTGCTCCCTCCTCTTGCCCCACTGCAGAGTAGAAACATTAAGAGTGAAGAGATGGAACTCAGGAAACCAGGACACTTTTCATGACTCTGCCCCAAATTTTGAGCATGATCTTGTCTGAGGCTGGTTATTGCTCTGGGCCCCAGACATGAGGAGACACCTTCATTCCCTTCTCCCATGAACCTCTCCAACGATCAGGAGTATTTTGGGATAGAGACTGGCCCTCTCCTCATCATCATCCATCAGAGCTGTGCAGGAGCACTGTCTCAGCAGTGCTGGAGCCATGGTCACACATCAGCATTCTGGGTACATTCCCAGCATGGTGACAGGTCCCCACGTGGATCCAGGGTCAGGATCCTCAGTTTGTCCATGTGCTTCAGGAAGCGACCCTGCACACCAAGGGCAGCTGTGCTCCCAGGCTGGGAGCTTTCAGGAGGGACCAAGTTGGCCAACAAAAGGCTGACTAACAGCTCTAGATTCTGCTTGCTCTGTGCAGAATCCCAGGGTGGGACTCACGCCGGGACTCACCCGCCCTGGACACGGTGGCCGGGGTGGCCGAGCGCAGGTGGCTGATCTCAAAGAGCAACCTCATCGTCGGGTTCAGAGGGATCCTCTCATTGCTGGCCAGGGTCAGCACCTGCATGTGGCACACAGATAGACAGACAGACAGACAGACTGAAGGTCGCCCAGGAACAGCCATGAAGAGCATCCAGCCCTTGGTTGCTCAGCCCAGCTTCCCGAGGAGCTCTTTGGCAAAGGGCTGCAATCCCAACACTGTGACCAGCACTTCCAGGGAGGGGATTCTGCCCCTCTGCTCTGCTCTGATGACACCCCACCTGCAGAGCTGCCTCCAGTCCTGGGGGCCCAGCACAGGAAGGACATGGAGCTGTTGGAATGAGTCCAGAGCAGATACCAAGATGTTCCAAGGGCTAGAGCACCTCTGCTATGGGGAAAGGCTGAGAGAATTGGGGTTGTTCAGCCTGGAGAAGTCTCTGGGGTGACATAATTGTGGCCTTTCAGTACCTGAAGGGGCTCCAAGAGAGCTGGAGAGGGACTTCAGTCAAGGATCTGGAGTGACAGAACAAGAGGGAATAGCTTCAAACTCAAAGAGTAGGTTTGCATTAGATATTAAGAAGAAACTCTCCCCTGGGAGGGTGGGGAGGCCCTGGTACAGGTTCCCCAGAGAAGCTGTGGCTGCCCCATCCCTGGAAGTGTCCAAGGCCAGGCTGGATGGGGCTTAGAGCAACCTGGGCTACTGGAAGGTGTCCCTGCCCATGGCGGGAGGATGGAGCAAGATGAGCTTTAAGATTTCTTCCAACTCAAACCATTCTGTGAGTCTGTGATATGATTTCTAACAGGCAGTAGAATGACCCTTCTCCCTCAACCCAGAATCCACAGCACTCCCTCGGGGTCTAGAATTATGCCCCTAGTCTATTTTTAAAGGGCCTGAAGTCATGATCAGGACATTCGTTATTACTCACAAGCAACTCTCCAGAAAAGGGAAATTCCAATGAAAACAATCTCTGAGCTATTTCCCTCATGCACGATTTCCTTTATGCAATATTGTTTGGTCTACCTGAAGGAACACAGTTGCATTATTCCAGGAGGTGTTATTTCAGCACCTGCATTTCTCCTGGGCTGAATCACACCTGACAAGGAACACCTGCTGCTTTACCTTGTATCCATTACCTTATTGTCATCCATCACAGTATTAAGAGATTCAATCCACATTGGATCAATATCTCCATCCAGTACCATCCACTTGGGACCATCATGTGTGAGGTTGGCCAGCTCTCGCATGATTGATGAGAACAGTCCTGGGAAGGTGACAGAATATGTTGATGAACACTGAAGTTGTCACCTCCTTTAAAAGTTTTTCTAACAAGTTACTAAAAATTATGCCTTCCTCTTAAGCTTTCATAACTCTTTACATCTGTACATAAATAATACTATATCAAGATATCTTCTTTGAAGAAAAAAGCCGTTATCATTTATTATCACTGAAAATGACTGTAGACCTACACAGGCTTCGTTCCCACTGCAAATCATAAGGGATAAGAAAAATGAAGAGCAGATATTCAGAGACAAAAGAAGGCATGAATTACACAATGTAGAGAAAACCTTCTGAATATGCCTTGGAAATTCTTATAATTTATTTCTTTTTTGTGATTTGAAGTGTATCAGGGAAATCAAGATGCATTAAACGTTGGGTCATGGCTTTAGTGAGATTGAGGGGAGAACAAGCACAGACTGACACTGAGTGACAGAACAAAATGTCAGTGAAATCAAGGAGACAGAGAGGATACAGTGTCTCAAGGGGAGTAAATAATGAATGTTAAGAAGAGCAAGAAGCTGGGAATAGAGCAGCAGCACTACAGGGCAAATGAGAGCTCCACAAAACCAGCCCTGTCCTCCACAGAAGGAAATACCTGGGGAAAGGCTGGGCTGCATGAAGGAACAGCAGGCAAACACTAAAAACAGCCTCTCTGATGGTGAATTGTGACAAACCCTCTGTTTTTTTTCTCCAGGACACCCTTGTGATCCAGGTGAGGAATGGCCAGTGGTGTTACATGACTGAGACAAAGCTTGCGTATAACAAATGCAGAACAGCTCATCAGACACAGGTATCTGATTCTGAGAGCAGGTCAAAAAGTAACACTTCCCTGGCTCTGCCTTGACTCCATTCCTCACGTTGGACACGTCTTGGCAAACACTCCAACACCATTAGTGTCAGAACAGCTCCTGTCTCAGAGTAGCAGTGCTTCCCTCATGGACACCACGATGGCAGTGGGGAGGGAAGTGCCCCTCTCCCAACCTTGTGCAACCACACCACAGAGTGGCCTCGGGATTTAAAAGGAGAGTTTGGTTCTACAAAAAACACTTTTAAGATTCCCTTGTGGGACCTTTTCCCACCTAACATGTACAGACTCTCCAACTGCTGGCAATGAAATGAGTGACAGGATGAACTGGGGAAGAGGAAAATGAGGGGCTGATTCATAAGGGAACACATCCTCTTGTCAGGCTGTGGTGAAAATGGCCTGGCTGGTCTTTGACACCAAGAAACAACATTTTCAGGAATGGTTAATGCAGACAGTATGTGCCTTGAGCCCTCAGGGAGGAGTCCTGTGAGTTCTCTTGAAACATTAGAGGCTTGAGACCACTGGGCACCCACCTGCCCATGTCCCTCCAGCTTTCCAGTGACACCCACAGTCCCTGACCCTCATTCCCCAATGCAGCCCTTCTGCAGGGCTCTGTATCCCACACTTCTCTCTGTCACTTTGATTTAGGGTCCCCAATAACAACTAAAAAGAAATTAACCCTGGCACTGGAGGAAAGCAGGGGCAGGAGGGGCTGTGGCAGGGCCTGGGGAGGTGGTGGCAGCTCATCTCCTGGCACAGCTCTGGCCCAGGATGATTTATTTCTCCCACCTCTCCCCCCACCACCTCCTAAACCAGCCACACATGGAATCAAAGCAGCCTTTCCAGATCAGTCACAACCCAACATTTTCACTCCAGAGCTCTGTAATCTTTCAGCAGGTTTTAAATGCTCCACTTGTCCTCCTCAGGAGCAATCAGGATCAACAGCCTGGCAAATGCCATGTGCTAGAGATCAGACAGTGATAGTGCAAAAACACCACTCAAAGGTCTGTGAGCGTGCTATCGGGTGTGGAAACGTGGGGATGGCACATTTTGGGGGGCCCCAGTGCACACCATAGGGTAGGAGGGAACTCTCTTCCATCACCAGCCCAGCCCTGAAAACCAACCTGCCCCAGTTAGGAACTGGGAAGTGCTGGTGTTAATGGACAGGATAATTATCCTTATGCCAAAAGGATAAATTCCCATTTGATAACCAAAAAGCTAAACCACCCTACATGTCCTTTCAACAGCAACCCCTCACATGGCTGGAGCAGCACACAGGCCCCTGGGCTGTCAGACCTGGGTACAGAGGACTGGCCATCCTTCTGGACTCAGAAGGTCCATTAAAAACATCCTTTTTATCTCCAGATTCAGTATGAAAAGACATTTACCATCTTTCCACTCTCTTGTTGCTGGGTTAATGATGCCAAAAAGCTCATCGTTGGTGACTGCCTTGGGGTTGAGGTCTGTCCACACAGGACGTCTTTTCATTATCTGGTGGGTCCTGTGCAGGGATCTCATCACCTGGGACTTGCCTGTGCCCGCGTTTCCCACCACGAACACGGAGTGTCGGACCGTCAGCAGCTCCTCCAGCTGCACCACCTGGGAAAACACACTCCCACAGCTTAGACAAAGATGCCAAACTGAAGTTCAGATCTACAAAACCTGGTCTAGTGGAAGGTGTCCCTGTCCATGGCAGGGGGTTGGAATGAGATATCCTTGAAGGTCCCTTCCAACCCAAACTATTTGGTCTTTCTGTGATTCTACGAAATGAGCTCTCATTGGGCCTCTCCTTCAGAAAGCTGTGACCCAGAGACATAAAAGGACTTGATACTGAGTTTGTTTCGCTCTGGGCACTCTAACTATGATGTGTGAAATCCTCAGTGGGCAGACAAACCTCCTGGAAATACCATCTGACAGCCATCAGCTGAGGAGCCTCTGCTCTCCAGGGTGCTCTCCACATGTGCATGAGCCTACAAGAGTCAGTTCCTTGGCACACTCAGGGACGAGGCAGTGCTGGTTTTAGGGGCAGCTGCAACTGCATTATACCCAGCATAGCTGACTCTCTCCTCCATCAGGGTCTATCTGCGAGAGGAATATTGTGGCTGCTCTAACCCTGGAAGTGTTCAAGGCCATGTGGGACAGGGCCTGGAGCAACCTGTGTCCCTGCCCCTGGCATGGGGGTGGGACTGGATGATCTTTAAGATCCCTTCCAACCCAAACAGCTCTGGGATTCTGTGACTGTGCAGAGCCTTCTTTGTAGAAGCAAAGAGTGTTGAGAAAACCCAACTGATTTGATGCTGGTGTAGGCAGAGAACATCACTTGGTCTCACTTTGAGCACAAAGTTGTCCTCAGGTTGCAGCCGCAGCTCCAGCACAGCCTGTCTCACCAATGCCTCGAAATCCAGGTCACGCTTCCGAGGCACACCCAGGGCAGGGAACAGATCCCCAATGAGCCCCATGAACACAGGCACATCGTCTGTCACGATCTTGGGGATGTTGAAGTCACGCAGGGAGCGCATCAGAACCTGCTCCTCAGGGCGCTCGGGGTCGGCGCGTTTGAGGGACCCAGCAACCACCAGCACGGACTTGATGGCACGGAGACCCCAGTCATAGTGATCCTGCAGGGAGAAGGGAGAAATCAATTAAAAAGAGTTTATGAGCACCATGCAAGTGAGGAACCAGCAGCTCCCAGCTGCCAGACCACTCAGCTACAGAAACACTGAAAGTCAAACACATGGTCACAGAATATTCTGAGTTGGGAGGGACTCACAAGGATCTTCAAGTCCAACTCTTCAGTGAATGGCCCCTCCAGGGATTGAACCCACAACCTTGGCATTATCAGCACCAGGCTCTAAACAACTGAGCTCATCTCAGGGTTATCTGTGTTGTGGCCAGAGACCTCCACCAGCCTGAGTTACCTGATCTCCATTTAAGCAGGTGAGCTTCCCATCAGAGACAGTATTAAAGAGTCAAATAATTCAGTTGTTCATGCCATGCCATGGGCTCAGAGCTGGCACTAAGTCAGCAGTAGGATTTGCATTCCGGAGACCTAAGCAGTTTTTTCCCCCTAGATCACAAAGCAGTTTGCTTGGCCTTTATGCAGCTTAGGCAAGGCCAGCCAGAGCCCTGGACCTGCAGGAGCTACTGAGCTGAAAGGCTTGTTAGTCCATTCTGAGGCCCCAGACACCCAAGGTTCTCCATCCTCCCCATCACGAGGCTACGAGGCACATTTGGTCCTGGGGAAAGTCCACCAAGCAGACACTGCTCAAAAGGAATCCCAAAGATGCCTGAGAGGAACTCAGGCCAACAAGCAACCCTTTTTATTTCTGCTCTGTTAAGACCTGCAGAGCCCAGCCTGACAGCTGAAAGCTTTGTGTAGGAGGCCATGGCTCCCATCAAGGCCTCCAGGGCACAGCACAAAGTTTCTGAGACAAGGCATCCCCCACCCAAGCTCATGCTGCGAGAGCCAAGATCAGGTTTTCCATATGGAATCCTGATTCAACTCATTACTGGACCCAGATTTGATCTGTGCAAGGAAAAATCTGATTAATTAGAGTTTTGCACTACAAATGACCCTGTTATCAACACCTGACATGACAGGGAAGTGTTAGGTTGGACTCAGAGAGGGATAGTCACCATAAACCCCTTGTGGCAGGAAAATCAATAGGAGTCAAGAGCCTGGAAAGCACTGAATATCACCCCAACCATGGTACCATTTGGGCCCTTTGAGAAATCTCTCCCACTAATGTAGTTGGTCAAGTCCTTTTGTCCCTGCAGATCCTCCAGGAAAGCAGCTTGAAGATCTGATGACCACAAACCTTCCCTTCTCCCAGCAGCTGCCACCAATGCAGTCAGTAAATCGAAGCTGCGAAGCTTCAGTCATGGAGGTGTGTGGCAGAGTGTCACATTCCTGATTTTGGGAATGCATAGGCCCAGGCACAGCAGTGAACTCACCTGCTTGGACAGGAGCTCTTTGCAGAGCTGGTAGAGAGTGATGAACTTCCTGGCCAACACCCGGGCCTCGATGAACCCCTCGGCCACCAACATAATCTCACAGATCAGCTCAAAGTCTGGCACAACCATGGCACAGGGCCTGGGGAGACAGGTAACAAGGGACTGCAGAGCAAGTACTGACAACACATCTTAAGGGCAGTGGGTCTGGAGCTTTATCTTCCAGGTCTTCTCCAGGGAGGTAGGTCACACACTGCCTTTCCCAGGCACAGAGCTCCCTCTGTGTGTTGCCCTCCCCGTGTGTTCCCAGAGCCAGGCTTGGTGCACAAGGCTGAAACTATCTGTAAATCCCCAATGCAAGTGAATGTCCCAAGAAAACAAAGCCAAATCTGGATGTTCCAAAGGGCAATTTCTGCCACTCTTATAACACAGGTAACAAACTTGACCTCGACTCACCTGAATAGAGCTTTCAAATTCTCAGGTAGTTCAGTTCGTCCTGCATAACCAGGGTTCATGGTGATGAAAATGCCTACTGAGGGGACCAAGTTAATGTCTTCTCCAAGAAAATTGAAGGATTTCTTCTTCTCCCGTATGGCATCCTGCACACTCTTCACCTGGGAACCAAGGCAGTGCTTAGTGCTGCTGTTCAGTTAGGAAACCCCCCCAGACTGTTGTCCCTCCCGTTGGCCCATGACAACTGGGGATTATCACTGCTCTGGTTTGGTTGTTTACTGACCAAATAAAGCTTTATACACTGTTTAGAGCAAATTTGTGTGGCAATATCAGTCTCCCATCACCATCATCTCCATCAGCACATCTCACAGCAAAAACACCCCCAAAGGCTAAACCAGCTCTTCCAACTTCCCAGTGTAGCAGGAGGCCAGAGCAGAGGAGGAGATGCAGGGCTGTGCAGGCACCCACAGCACAGCCAACTCCAAATGCCACCCCAAGAGTCTCACACAACATAGTCCCTGATTCCCTCACCCACCTTCACCCCTCCCCACACTGCTCCTCATGACAGCTCAAACCCTTCTGTGCCTGCTCTGTTCCTTGAGCAGGCCCAGAAAAGGAGCTGCATTTCCCACGAAACTTGGCCTCAGCTCAGTTGCAAACAGATCACTTGATATTGCTTTTAATGGCTTTGGGACATCAGATGCCTAATTTCAAATCCACAAGGCAGAAGCTAGAAGACCTCCCCTGACACCTTCACTCACCAATATTGGCTGGTCTGCTCTATTTGCCTGATGGCAGCTTTGTTCTTCTCACTCCCCACTTTCCAAGGGAGCAAATTCACTACAGCCAGACCATCTCATTCCTCACCTTCCACTCCAATGGGAGCAAGTCCATCACAGCCAGATCACTTCATTCCCCACCTTCCAGCAGGAGAGCCCATCACAGCCAGATCACCTCCTTGCAAACAGCACTTGAGCGAGGGAGGACTCCCTCTGTTCACTGCTCTCACCTCACTGCTCTTTGCCATCTTACAGTTAAGCAATTAATGGAGTCTCTCTGTAAGGCCCCACATGGACATTAAGCTGCATGACTAAGACAGCCAATTAACCATCTCCATGGTTACCCTCCTAAGAGCAGACAGGAGAGGAATGATGGAATGACAGCCGTGCCTCCGACACAGCTCCAGCCAGGAGCCAGGGCATCATTAGCAGTTGAGTCATATCTGGATTTCTTTTGTTCAGCTTCCCTTTTTATTTTAAGATCCTCAAAGACGTTTTTCAATGACAACTTTAAACTAGAAACTGATGGAAGGGAAATGGAGAGGGAATGACACACAAACTCATGTACCCACCGGGGACTTCTTTGGGACATCATGTGGGCTCCAATGATGAGAGAAAGAGATGAGAGGAGTATGGAGTTCATGGAGAGGTTCAGAACAACTTCTTTGACCAAAACACAGAAGTTTAGAAACTTCTGGGTTCTAGATCTTTCTCTCTTCAGTGAGAGGGGGTCTAGGAAAAATTCATAACCCAAAACCTGCACTCAGCTAACACTTGGGTCCAGAAGAACTTGGATTCTTCACACTTCAATTTTCAGCACAGAAGTCCCCCAAGACTCAAAACCTTCAGTTCTGCCCATGTGGGAGCTGTCTGAGTCTGGACAGTGCAGTTGCCACTACAACTCCTCTGGCAGCTGATTTACCTGGCATTTTCAGTGGATTCCCATGAGATTCAGGATCTGGACAAATCCCAGATCCAACTCTCCTTCAAAACATGAGCCAGAAGTTGCAGCAGGGCCTGCTCTCATCCTGCTGCCCCGTGGTCATACCTGGGCTGCCCAGATTTCAGCCCCTGCCAGGAGCGACTCACACCCATGGGGCTTTCCTTGGTGCCCCCTCCTCATTTCCTGGACAGGGGAGTCTCCTCCCATAGTTCTTTCCCCTCTGTAAAACATTCCCAGATTTCCCAATGGGCCAGTGAGGGGAAGGGAAGGAAGGGAATGGAAGGAAGGAAGGGAAGGAAGAGGAGGAAGGGGAGGAAGGAATGGAAGGAAGGAAGGAAGGAAGGAAGGAAGGAAGGAAGGAAGGAAGGA